GGCCGCGGCGACGGTCACTGCCGATGGGGTCAGCAGCGAGGTGCGCACGGACGGCTTGCCACGTGTCCGCATCGGGGCGACCGCGGGCGGCCTGGACAGCGAGCTGATGGCATTGCGTCTGAAGCTGCGCAAGTTTCTCGAGCAGCACGGAGGTGGCGATGACGGCGGTGGTGGCCAGCTGGTTGCCGCCCACTTCGCGCGTCAGATGAAGCGTATCTGGCTGGCGTCGGAGGAGCGTGCGGTGGGCATTCGGCTGCGCAACCTGCTCGAGGGCGTGGTGACGGATGCAGCGGCGCTGCTCGAGGAGGTGGCGGGGGTCAACATTGAGGTGTCAATAGTGGACTAGAGCCAGGTGAGCACAGAGTGCAGGCGCCAGAGTGCGCCGGCTAGTAAAGAAAGAAAGAAAGAAAACAGACAACCCAAGGGAGGGATGGGAGGACGGCACGCCGCCACCACACAGGGATTTTAAGGAGAGGGGTGTGATGCGCTAGCCGTCGCCCACCCTAGGGAGTCTGCCTCTTCCTATCTCTTTTCGCAGTCTCTCGCCGCTTCTCGCTGCAACCTTCATGCCACCTCGCGGCCGTCCCACTCTCGTCGTTCTCTCCCTTGTCACTTCCTCCTCTGTCGCGTCATTCTCTTCTGCCTCGTCCTGCGCCGCCGCCGCCTGCCGTAGTCACACTTTCGATGACACCGCGAGAAAATCTGTTTTTGCGCTGACCGCAAAAATCGTTGCGCCGACACACTCCGACCAGATTGCATGACCCCAATTCTCCTCCTCCTCCTGGAAACGTCCGCTCTGCAGCCGCGGTCTCGACTCCCTGCCGTCCGTCACGCCCGGGAGCCGCGCTCCGCCTCCACCGTCCGGTTGTGCGACCGTGAGGCTGCCGCGCCCACCGAGGCAGCAGAGACCGCCACACCACCAGCCACTGCTGAGTCCAACAGCCTCCTCGGGCCGCGCGAGGCAGCGCTTGCCAGCGTGCCGCTCTTTTTTCTGCTCCAGTCAACTACCGTCGGCCTCGCTCGTTCGGGACTCCCTCCTGACCTGGCGCCGCCCGTGGGCCGCGCCGCTGCGTTCGGGCTCTTTGCCGCCGTGCAGGCCGCATCCGGGACGTCGGTCGACACGTGGCTGCTCCGTCCCGCCGCGGAGCCCGAGTGGCGCTGGCTCGCCGCGCCGTGGGCGCCGGCGGCGGTCTTCGCCGCCTTTGCTGCCGCAGCGCTCGCCCCAGCGCTCGCATGCCAGCTGTTCGGGCAGGCGGAGGTGGCGGAGGCGCTGCTGCCCGCGGGCGGGCCGCCCCCGTCTGCGGCGCGCTGCCTCGACGTCCTCCTCCTCGCCCCCCTCACCGAGGAAGCCTTCTTCCGAGGCTGGCTTCTCACCGCCTCTGCGCGGGCCGGCGCGCCTCGCGCGGCGTCAGCGGCCGCGTCGGCGGCGCTCTTTGCGCTCTGGCACGCCGGCGACGGCGCGGGCGGGCTGCTCGCCTTTGCGGCGCTCGGAGGGTGGCTCGCCGTCGTGTACCAGGCCGGCGGCGGCCGGCTCGCCCCTTGCGTGGGAGGGCACGTGCTCTGGAATGCGCTCATCTTGGCCTTGCGCGCGGCGCGGTGAGTGTGACAGCAGCGGGCCTGAGATATACTGGTGCTTGGTGCATCTCGGCCGAGATTTCCGACACCCACATACCCTTATATCTACCTGACCACACGGTGCGAATGGTTGGTGGTGTCCGCATCATGTCGCTCACCCGCGTGTAGCGAGAAAAGCGAGCCGTTTTGCTTTGCGCAGAGCGGCGAGCGCCCCTCGCGGCGGGGCTCGCAGCACCAGCAGCAGATCCACTTCCAGCATCAGCAAGCGGTCTGGGGTCCTGGACGCTGGAGATGACGATATTGACGTTGACGAGCCCCGACTCAGTCCGTCCGCGACTCGCGCCTGAGCTTTTTTTTCGCGTCCCGCAGGCTGCCTGGCTCTCCAGCCAGCAGCCTGCAGCCAGCGCGCACGCCCCGGTTTACAAATCATTTGACAAATCTGCCCACATTTTTGGCTCGCGCACAGTTGGTCGACAGGTGGCTCGATTACGCTGACGTGGCCACTATGGAGTATTTGAACGTTCTCCCCCCTCCCCCCGCGACCTCCCCGCCACGCACAAGGGCGGCTAGAAGGGCGGAGTGCGTCTACACAGCGTGGGCGTCAGTGGCCCGGGATGATTCCTTGCAAGTACTCCGGTAGCACGGGTTTCTCCGGGACGGGAACGCGCGCCGTCTCCTCCCCCGTGATTGGGTTGAAGCCCGCGACGTTTGTTCTCTGCTGCAGGTTGGCGGCGCGCATGGCCGCACGGTACCGGAGTGATTCGTCGGAGTAGCGGAGGCACTGGCCGTCCTTCCCCTCCCCGTACTGGAGCGTGATGGGGTCGTACGGCATCGACGTCTTGTTGCTCTTGCAGAACGTCCCCTCGCGCGCCATCGCTTCGTGCCGGGCCAGCTCCGCCTAAGGAGGCGCGTGGTGAGGGCTTTGGGGTCGGCGATGGCGGTGGCCATGTGGCGACTGTCGAGGCGGCGGTGGCGGGCGAGGCAGCGGTTATGACTGTAGAGACAGCTTAGGCAGCGGCTCTGCGTCAGTGGTGGCGGCGCGCGTGCTCCGCCCCGACCGTCGGCTGGTGCCACTGCTGCGACAGCTGGTAGTTGCGGCTGTTGCGGCTGTTGCGGCTGTTGCGGCTGTTGCGGCTGCTGCGGCTGCTGCGGCTGCTGCGGCTGCGACCGCTGCTGCTACCACGCTGCTACTGTGCGAGCCGACGAACCTCGTGCTCTGCCTCGACCACGCGCCATCGCTCCTCCTCCGTGTGTGTGCGGGCGATGCGCTTCGCGTGGAGGACCTGCTCCTTACGCATGAGGACTGCGTTGCGCGACGCCTTCTCTGCCGCCGCCGCGTTGGTTTCGAACCGATCCGACTCTGCGATGTGGCTGAGCGAGTCGGGCGGCGGCGTGAGCGAGTTTGGCTCATAGTGGTAGAAGCACTCCCTCCGCTGAGAGAGGCGCATCTTCTCGAGGTCCTCCTTGTGGACAGTGCCGTGGCGCTCCGCCCGCGACTTGGGCGCAAGGTTGCGCACCTCCCCGAGTGCGGGTGGAGCCGGGCGCGCGCTCATGGTGTATGCCGGCGATGCGTCCGGCCGGGGCGGACGAACTTGTGAAACCGTCAGCCTTGCAAGGTCTCTCTCTCTCAAGGGAGTAAAAGTCTCTCGAAGGTTTACATAGCTCACACAAAATCACAAGAGGAAAGCGAACGACTCGAATTACACCGCCACCGGCACCGGCGCTCCTTCACGCTCGAATCGTTTTTCTTCACCGTTACAGGTACGCCAATGCCCTGCCAGCGCCCGCCGCTCTCGGGCACTCTCGGGTCCGAACCCACACTATGCGCGTTCCTCCGCTCCTCCTTCTCCTCTCGTTCTTCTCGCCTGGCCTCGCCGCCGCATTCCTCACCCAGAGCGCGGTGCTCTCCGAACTCCTAGTCGAGTACGACGCGACTATGCGCCCATCTCAGACGGAGTGCAGCGCGACCTCTGCAGATCACATTCAGGTCCAAATCGTTACGGACGCGCTACACTCGATCGACCAGGTTTCCAAGTCATACGCTCTCGACGCGCTGCTGCTCCTCGTGTGGAGTGACCCCCGCTTGGACTACAGCACCCGGAACCTGTCCTGCGCCAACGCCCTCACATTCGAGAGCATGGACGTGCTCGGCATCTGGTCGCCAAAAGTTTCGGTGCCGCAGGCAAGATCAATCTCACTAGGCGGCGGTTCCGGCAAGATGGCAGCAGACGGCGAGTCGGTCGAGATCGGTGCGGACGGGACCGTTCGGTGGCTTCGACGCATGCACGCCCTGATTCACTGCAACTCCTTCTCCTTCGGCCGCGTGCCATTCGACACGCAGTACTGTCAGATGGATGTGGGTGTGCTCGGCTACAGCTACGAGGAACTAACAGTCGGCTGGCTGACGCAAGAAGCGGCAGCTAACGCGGGCGTCGAGGCGAGTCTGAGGTCGGGGGAGTGGATCGCCACGCTGGAGAGCCTTCGAAGCGACGTGCGAGTGCCGGCACCATTGTCTGGCTACAGGCCGCCATCTCTCGCCGCGCTCTGCTTCTCGCTCGAGCGGAGCTCGCACGGCGCGGACTTCACCATCCTTGTTGCGGTGCTGCTGGTCATCGCCTCATATTCGGGCTTCTACATCTCGCCTGCCGCTGCGCCTGCACGGATCGCGCTCGCGTTCCTTTGTTTCCTGATGGTGCTCAACAACCTCAACTCCGTGTATAGCAAACTGGCGCCCCTTGCTCGCTTCAGCGACGGCGAGCGGGTGTGGATATCTGACTTTCTCACCGGCACAATGATTTTCAACTTTCTCGCACTAATCGAATTTGCCGCCGTCAATTTGGGCCTCCGCCTTGTGGCCGAGCAAAGGGCCGCGACATCAACAAAGGAGGGCGGGCAGCACGCGCGGATCACTGAGGATGGCCATGCTCGCGTAGACGAGGTCGAGGTAGGGCCGCCAGCGAGCGCCACTCGCGCGCGCCGTGCCGCCCTTTTCGTTGTTCACCGCGCCAAGTGGCGACTCACGGCGCTGTCGCAGCTCGACGTGGCGATGCGAGTTGTCTTCCCCATCACATACGGCATCTTCTGCACAGTCATGTTCTCCCTCGTCGATCAATATGGCACCAACGAGAACGGATGCGTCACCATCGCGAATTGAGACCTCGCACCATGTGCGTCTACAATGATTGAATCGACGATTCGTTGCATGCACAAAGCCGAAAGCGCTTCGCCTGAGTGTGTCTCTGGCTGAGTGCTGAGAGCAGCTGCCATGGGAAGCAGAACTTCTGCCAGACTAGCTGCCAGACCAAAATAGAGGGACAGATAGAGTACAACTTATAGTGGAGCCCTCTCGCCTCTGCACAGCGTAAAAAGCCGTATGTGCACAGGGGCTTTCTCCCATCCCCCCCCCCCTGCGATGTCGTCCCTTTCTCTCGAAAAACTAACTCAATAGATTAGATACGCCTTGCGCATTGCATCACTCGCCCTATATAGCCCGCCCTCACTGTGTCTCGCCCCGTGCCTGCGCGGCGGCGGCGGCAATGATGGCGGCGCCCACGCCCGAGCCGTCCTTGGTCAGGACGAGGGACACGTCTCGCGCGCGCTCCGGCCCGAGCAGCATCTCGAGGCCGCCCTCCATCCTCGCCTGGAAGCCGGGGTAGCGCTCGAAGACGGTGCCGTCGACGGCGACTGTGGCGGGCCTCGGCTCGCTCTGCGCAAGCTCGAGCAGCGATGCGATGCCGACGGCGGCGAGGAGCGCCGCACGCGTCGAGACCGCGGCGCACGCGTCGCGCAGCAGGGAGCGGTCCGCGAGGGTTCCCTGGACGCCCGCCTCAGCGAGCAGGTGAGCCACCTGCGAGGGGGGGGGGGGGGTCAAGGGGGGGAGGGGGGCGGGCACACTCGGGCGCTCCAGTGATCATCCCGGGCGACCTCGGGCGACCTCGGGCGACCTCGGGCGACCTCGGGCGACCTCGGGCGACCTCGGGCGACCTCGGGCGACCTCGGGCGACCTCGGGCGACTTCGGGCGACCTCGGGCGACCTCGGGCGATCTCGGGCGATCTCGGGCGATCTCGGGCGATCTCGGGCCACCTCGGCCAAGTCGGGCGTCGCGTCCGCCTCGATGGCTGCCAGCGTGGAGGTGTGCAGCGAGAAGCGCTCGCTAAAGGCGGCGTCGAATCCGGCGGCGCAAGTGCGCGAGAAGCCTGCGCGCACGGCCGGCGCCGCGAGGGCTGTCCGGAGCAGCTCGCCCAAGTACATGCCGGAGACCATCTTCTCGAACCGCTGCAGGCCCGGGTTCTCCGAGGCCGCGTCGACGGCGGCGTCGTGCTCGTTCCGCACGGCCGCCGTGTCGAGGTTGCCCCACTCCGTGTTGATCGCCATCTCGGTCTCGCGAGAGCCGTCCTCGACCCCGCGCCCCTTGCCAATCTTCGCCGCCTGCTCGACGTACGCCGCGTTCGTGCCCGTGCCTAATCCCGGCTCATCTCGGCTCATCTCGGGCAATCTCGGCTCATCTCGCCAGCCCGATGGCGCCCGTGCCGAAGATCACACCCATCGCCGTGCCGGGACAGCTGTACGCCGCGGCCGCCATCGTGCCGACGGTGTCATTGGCGAGCGCGGTTACCCGCATTTTCAGCCCGCGCGCCTCCAGCTGCGCTTGCAGCAGCGCGACGACGTCTGCTCCGATCGCGTCGGCGGCCGCAAAGCCCTTGTTCCATGCGACGAGCGTGCCGGCGTCGATGGCGGTCTGCGCGGCGGGAAAGGAGAAGGTGAAGCCGATGTCGCCGGCTGCCTCGCCGCCGCACTCGGCCGCGACAAAGGCGGAGACGCAGTCGGCGAGAAAGCCAAAGAGCTCTGCGCCGCTGCCACGCTTTGCCGCGTCGGGCACCTTGAACTGGCGCTGCCGGACCGGCCCGATCCGGCCGCCGCCCTCAAGCCTCAGCTGTAGCACCCGGAAGTGCGTGCCGCCCAGGTCGAGCGCGAAGTATTCTCCCGTCTCCTCGCCGGTGACTCGGCGGGTGAGGTAGGTGGGCAGCATCCGCAGCGAGCTGTCCGATCCGGCGAGCCCCGCCCGCGCCTCGGTGAGGAAGAGCTGGCGGAGATTCTCCATCGACGCCGGCGGGAGGGCGAACTCGTCGCGCAGCGCCTCCCAAGCGGCGTCGCGAGCGGCCATTACAAACTTTGTCTGAAACTAGGCGGACCTTGCGCTCGCGCCAGCGCTGGCTGGTACTCGGCATATTTATTTGTTTTTCTGATATCTTGCGAGGACAAAGAGCCAATTTTTATCTACACATCACTCTGAATCATCAGGTTGCAGCGAAGGGAGATAGAAAGAGGCAGACGACCAAGGGTTAGGGTGGGCGACGGCTAGCACCAGCCAGCCATCACACTCCTCTCTCTCCTTAAAATCCCTATGTGGGGAGAGAGAGAGATGGCGGCGTGCTGTCCTCCCATCCCTCCCTTGGGCTGTCTGTTTTCTTTCTTTCTTTCTTTTCTGAATCATCCCAAATAACAATGTGATTGTGTGTAGACATTATAATACTTAATACATCGCGAAAGAATTCTTGTGCGCGGTGCGAGCAAGAATTTTCTCTCTCTCTCCCAGGCTTGGGTCATTTCCACGACGGGACTCCCGCGAGGGCTGCGGGTCGAACACGGTGCGCGCCTGCGCCGAACATTACAACACCACTGCCGGTCCAGCAGTGCGGGAGTCCGTCCGCGCCTCTTTGTCACCCCTGCGCTTGGCGGCGTTCTTCGAGGAGGATCAAAGAGTAAAAAAAGAAAAGTCTGGAGCTGGCGGAAGGGGTGGGCGAACCGAGTACGATAGAGAGACCACGAATGCGGGCACGATTCGTCGACCACGGGGGAGAGCGGGGGGAGCGAGCGGGCCCGACGTCCCTGGGAGGGGGGGCGACACGACCCAATGCCGCCGTCCTCGCCCGAGGAGACGGGCACGGGATCGCCGGAGGCGGAGTTAACAGGATCAGGCAGAGGAGACGAGTCGGTGGCGGCGCGGGGCCACAGCCGGAAAAAGGCTAGGAGGGGAAGTCGGGCCCCGCGCCCGTCGCATAACTAAAGGATCGGGATGCGAACAAAAGGAAGGACCGAGAGGAGAGGGAAGACTCCCTGGAGTGAGGGTAGGGAGACCGCGAGGGGGGGTCCGGAGTGGCGAGACACTGGGTGTGGGTGGGCGTCGTGTCCGTGTCGGGTGTCTACTAGCTCCGAGTAGAGGGGGCGTTCTGCTGCTAGGGGAAACCCGGAGCGCGGAGCTAACCCTCGGAGACCCGTGTTTAATTTATGGGCCTTTCCCTGCGAACGCGCACCCCCCCTAGGGGCCAGCGCTCTCTTGCCCGTAGCCCGATGCCAATCATCCCTAGAATCATCCGGCCCGCTGGGTGCGCTTCTTAGCTCCCCGGCCCTCGTGGAAGTGCGGTTACTGACTGCACTCCAAGTGCTCCAAGTGCTCTGTCGAGCACGCCAAGTGCTCCAAGAGCGAGCGCTCCTCCTCGCCGCCATGGGCACGGCTGCAATCACTCAAATGATTGAGGCAGCTTGCTGTGGTTGGTGTCACCGATCGCTTTGATGATTCCTGGGCGCATGTGACGTTCGTGTCGCGCTCGGTGACCTCGCCCTCAGCAACGATTTGATGCCTGCAGCACGTGCAGACTATCGAGTGAGTGTGGGGCCCCATGTCTGACAGACCCCCCTCACGCCGACGTGGTGAAGCTGACTAGGTTTCTTCATAAATGACATGCTCGTCTACGATGAGGCAAGTCGCCTTGCGTCCCGAGGACCTCGGCAACATGTTCGATATCGCGACACATAGAGGCTAATCGCTCTGCAGCTCGCGCTCCCCCTCTGCGTCGCTCATTTGACGGGGTTGAGGGTTTGCCATTCGGATGTGTATGTGTACAGAGTTGTGCGCACACTGCTATACCAAGTGTGGGGCGGCGGGTTGTCGTTCGGTAGCCTGTGCGCAGCCTGTGCGCCGGCTATTGTCGGGGCGAAAGTAATTCTGTTGTCACACAGCGCGGAATAGACAGATAGCGGTCGAGTGCGCGGACGGGCCTCGGATTTCCTTTTCTTGGCTAGAAATTCTTTCTTCTTGCCAGTTCGCACCTGTGTCGAGCCTGTCTGCTGTGAGAGAGAGTTGTTTTGTTTAAATTCTTTCTTCTTAGGCGGCTTCCGTGGTGTACCTGTGTTAGTGCCAGTGCGCGCCAATCTTCCCGAGAGAGAGATTTTTAGCACAATCAAAGAGATATATTTCCCATTTCGTGCACAAAGAGCACAAAGGTGGCACCCTCGGCCAGCTGAAGCTCTCGACTCGTCGACCGAACTCTGGACGATGCCGACCTCAAACCACCAGCACCAGGAACGACGTGCCGCGGCTCGCCGCGCATCTGTTGCGACCGACGACGTGCCCGACGCCGTCCCGCGGCCGCCAGGAAGAGGCCCGCGCAACCACTTCTGGGACCCGCGGCCGCCGGGCGTGTGGCGGCACAACGAGTCGAACGAACCGTACCAGCGCAGAGCGGCGCGTCTCGCGAGCGCCCGCGGCCGCCACGCCGCCGCCGTCCGCGGCCGACGGTGGTCGCGAATCAACGCGCCGCGGTGCAACGAGGCCAAGTCCTTCCAGGCTCCCGCCAGCAGCGCCTCGTGGCGTGGGCTGCACGGCCCTTCGAGACGGCCCGGGGGGCGGTGAGAGAGACCTCTCCCGCCGGCATGGCGCACTATATCACCCGTAGAGGCCTCTCTATAGTCGTCTTTTGGCACCTCATCTCTCCACGCCGCCGATTAGACCTCACCACATCGCATCGCCCCCTTCCCTGCCCCGTCGCCCTCCTGAGCTCTCCCTCCTTCGCTCCAGCCATGCACAGGCCATTGGCCCGCGTGCCAGGCGTCCGGGACGGCCGGGTATCGGCTCCGTACTTTGAGCCCTCTTGGGCCACCCTCGCGCGCGTCCACCGGCCGACAGAGCACCGCTTGGGCGACTCAGACGGCCCGCCCGACCAGCGCGTTCGATCGTGCCGCCCCCACAGCGTCAGTGGCGTGCGTGGGGTGGCAGGCGGCGTCCGCGCAGCCCCTCGTGGGGGTGCCCACCGCTCTCCTCTCACCGCTCCCCCCCGCCCGTGGCACCCCACGCACGCGTCCCTCCTCAGGGGCGCAAGGCGGCACGGCACGTTCAGCGCTTGCCTCGGCCCACCTCGCCTTCACGCCCGCCACCGCGACCAAGGAGGTGGCCTCGGCGGCCCAGATGAAGCCCGTGCGGCTCGTTTGGGAGCCGCATGCCGTCCCTCTCTCGCCGGCGCTGCTCACCACGCCCAAGCCTACGCCGAGGAACCCGTCACGCCCGTCTCGCTCACGAGCTGGTGGCTCGCATCGACCGAGCCGTCCAGCTTTCTCACGCGTCACGCCCTGCCCACGATCAAATTCGAGACGACCAACATCCGACCACAAAAAAGGCCCGCGCGTGCTGCGCGGGCCGGCGAGCGACTAGCGAGCCAACCTGCTAGTACCTTAAAAAAAAAACTGGCGCGGCGGCGGTTTTGAGGTCAGTGCACGCCTCTCCTAGGATCACTTACGCTGAGAATTGGCGCCACCGTTTAGGATATGGTGACCATCGCTGTTGTTTTTGGCATGCTCGGGACCACACAATCCCCACCAAATGCACTGCCGACGGGGCTGCCAGCGCCGCCGCCGCTGCCTCTCAGTCCGCATGCGACGATGCCGCCACAGTCGTCGCAACCACTGCCGTCGCCGCGGCCGCCACCTCATTTAGTGCCGATGCCGCAACTTGTCACAGCATTCGCCGTTATCGGGCTGCTCCTGGCGAGCATCGGCCTCATCGACTCGCTTTGTGTCTACTACCTCGCGTGCCGCAGTGCGTTTTGGTGGTGGACACGGCGCAAGTATCACCCCTCCCACAATACAGACATAGTGTCCCGAATGCCCACCCGATTTTGAAGAAATCAGAAACGCAAAACCCAGCGCAAACGCTCTCAGATTTCACCTTCGCCCTCGCTGCGCATCTCCATCTCCCACGCCGAGGGTATTTCATCTCGTGGTGGGAGGATGCTCAATCGATCAGGAAAGCGGTCGATTGATGGTGGCGCGGACAAAAGATGAAATACCTTCTCCCCCCTCAGGCTGGCCTCACAAGGCACAGCGCGCCTGCGCAGGAGATCTTCCTTGCTCCGATCGAACCATTCCCAGAGCCGATGGGAGACGCGTACAACCGACTGTGCCGCGGCCTGCCTCTGCATGGCAGCCCTCACCGCGCGGTCGCGCGGGTTGAGAAGCATGGCCATTCGCTCCGTTGGGCAATTCTGGCATCGCCCTGAGCTTTTCGAGCGCTCTGAGCAATTGTGGGTAGCCAAGCTGTTGACTTGGGGCGCGGACTCTCCCAGCGATAAGTTGTGAGGATGCAAGCGCGCGTTGAGCAGCGGGAGAGAGCGCTCCAGCTCGTGCAGCGGCAGCACGCTGACGCAGGGTGCCATCAGCTGCGCCTGCAGCAGCTCGAGGAGCAGGCTCTCCAGCCCCGTCGAGGTTTCTGACGAGGCGCTCTCGAAGCACCGCTGCGCTTGGAAGGCTAAGCTGCCCCCGCCGCGCTCGCGCTCGTCGCCTGAAACTCGGAGCAAGGTGTTGATGAGGGTGGTCGCCTCCAACTTCGCGTAGTCTGTGAACGCGTCGGTACAGTTGGCGCTCCTCGACTTGTGCTCGATGTTGCACACGCAGTTGTAGTTGTAGAGGGATATCGCTCTATCCACTGGCTCGCGAAGAGTGGTGATGACCAGCCCTGGCCGACCTGTGAGGTGCAGGATGCTCAGGGTATCGGACCCCGCAACAATGCGGAGCTGAGAGCGATACAGCTGTGTCCGCTCGTGGGCGAACTTTGCGCTTTTGTTTCGCGCCTTTGCGCCTTCAGTAGACGCGCGCCATCTCGACGCTATGGCAAAGTTGGACACGAGGTGGGCCATTGTGCCGCTCCCCGCTTTTACCATGTACACCAGACCAAAGACTGGGTCCACACTTTGCGGCTCCGTCAACGGTATGAGCATCCGGGGCACGGGGAGTGCCACAGAAGCTTCCCGGCGGCAGGAGGCTGAGACCCGGTCCCATTGCGCCAGCGTATTGTCGGGAAGAAGAGGCCGCAGAGTGAGCTCACCGCCCCCGAACATTAACGTGAGTCGATGGCACCAGTCAAAGACGAGCACACAGCGCGTCGCAGCGCAGGTCACGGCGCGTCTGCTGGTGTCGCGCGAACGCAATAACTTCTCGCAAGCGGATTCACCTTTTCGTAGGTGTGGTTGGTGGCCCGTGTTTTCACCTGGTTATGCGTTTCGCAGCAAAACGGCACGCTGAATTCAGTTTTTGTTCTACTGACAATGATCCAAGCCGTCATAGGCGGCAGTCCACCCCCGACGGCGATGATACAGCTTCCGGAATGCAACCACATCTTCGTGGCGTGAAATGTTAACAGCGATGGAGCCGTCGCTACGCGTGATGAGTGGCAAGCGAAGGCTGTCCACTGCCAGAGGAACGAGACCCTGGTAGACGGTCCGGGAGTCATTGCTTCCATGGAGACCCCTGGCGACGTTGATAGTGCCGTCCTTGTTACGGATGACCACTCGCATCACGGCAGCCACCCGAGCTGCTGCACGGTTAGCGAACGGTGCGCGGGGGTCACTCAGGTGAAGATGACGTTTACCCATAATCAGGCAATCGCCCTCCGCGGCGTCGACATAGCGCAGCCTCAGGCTGCTGACCTGCGGCTCTGCCCCACGAGCGATTCCAGCAAGTGCGCCCTCCTCGTCAGCCTCCGTGTGCCCTGTCCGCTTCAGCTCGTCGAAATGCTCGGCCAGACCAGGCGATGCAAACCCCGCGCTCCATCTACCATCTTCGAAGGTGTACTGCATGGGTGGGTTGGTGTACTCAGGGTGCTTCTCGACCAGTATAAGGTTACCGACCGACGGTGACGCGCTCTGGGTGCGGTTTGCTGCTCTGAGAAGGTACCACGTTTGGTAGCCGCCCATGTCCGGCCATTGCGCCCACTGGGGATCCCAGTGAGGGTGGTTGAACCCTCCCGACACGAAATTGACGAGCCTGTGACTGAACGGAATCAGGTCATCAAGAGTGAGCACCCGGCCGGGGATGTACACGTGCTCCAGCGTCGCCTTGAGCAGCTGGCAGGACCACCCGGTTGACAACCCGATCTCCCTCGTCTCACGCATCCTGTTGTGCGCTTCGTGAATCTCTACCAAACCTGGATGAAGCTCCCGGACACGAACAATCTTATGCTTTGCGGCTACACCCTCTCCAACGTTGATTCGCCCGCGGTTTGAAACGTCACCTGGCCTCAGTCTCGGGGCTGCGTCAATCTGCTGCCGTGAAGGAGCGTGGTTCCAAGGTTCGGGAGCCTCCTTTGCCACCTCTGGATGCCGACCAGCCTGCGTCAGACCATTCATCTGGTGCAGCCGCTGCAACGCCATCCCCAACGAGACGATCTTGAAGCCCGCCTGCTGGAGACGTGTGGCAAATGAAGTGTTGAGTGCATCCGCGCCGAGGGTTTTGAGGTAGTCGGCGTCAGATTCGATCATTGCCACGCGAGCCTCAACATCTGGCTTGTCAGAGCGGTCGGGGCCAGTGCGGGCCGCCTCGCTGGCCGCGTCGTCGGCACAAACCAGCACGAACACGTGCCATAGGAGAGCCGGCAGCGCGAGGCGCATACTCAGGGTTCCTATTCGTGGCCTGACAACATTCTACTACGCCCGGCCGTTCGAGCGACCAGGCGAGGGTGCCTAACCATGAATACAAGCAACCCTTTTGCTGGCTCACAAGCTAAAGATGTTCACTGCCCCCCACACGGAGGAGCCCCGGGTTCTCCGCATGGGGAGCCCCGGGTACTCTTTAGCTGTACTCGTCTAGGCAGGGGTTGACTTCAAAAAAGGTCTTCACTTGGAGGACTTGACAAAAGAATTTTTCAACAAAAGGCGGTCGCACGACACGATTCACGCGACAGGTGAGGCGCGGGCGACGGCTTCCTCAGAAGCCGTCGCCCGCACCACAGGAGCAGTCACACCACTCCCACTCCGGCGCCCACCCACTCCCCAACCCGACATCCCCACCCCACCCCACAACCCCGCCCCACCCCGACCCGAGCAACCCCGCCCCGCCCCGCCCCGACCCGATCCACCCCGCCCCGCCCCGCCCCGCCCCCCCCACCGGACCAACCCGCGAGCCGCTCCCGGCTTCGCCCCCCGCCCAAGCCCCACCCGCGCCTGCGCCTGCCACCCGCGCCGCCTCCCCCACGCGCACCCACGACGCAAGCCGCCCGCCGCCCGCCGCACCGCCGCCTCGCCCGCCGCCTCGCCCGGCCCTCGCCCAGTCGGCAGCCCCACCCGCCACCGGATCTTGACAAAAGAACTTAGAGAGCGAGTGCCGCCAAAGCCTCTCAGGCAGTTGTATCGGGGTGCCGCCCCTGCTGGGGCCATACGAATGTGCGACGCGTCGTCGCCCACTCCTCCTCTTTTGAGCGTCGGTCAAGTGACGCTCCAAACATCAAGCCCGCTCACCGAATCAGGAGACCGACAACATCGCAAGCTTCGCCCGCCCTCTGAGTCATGGCGCTCGCTCAATTTCGATTCACCTCCTCCAGTCACCTCCGAGAGCTCCTCCTCTGTCTGCACCGCCTCCTCCGCCGCCTCTGACGCCAACGGCAAGACGGATCGCGCCACCCTCTTCTCGATGCCGCTAACGGTCGTCATCTTCGGGGCGACCGGAGACCTCGCTCGCAAGAAGCTGTTCCCTGCGCTGTACGAGCTCATGTTGCAGGAGCACATCCCGCGCTGGACGTCCATCGTCGGCTGCGGCCGATCGCCGCAGGACCCCGACGCCTTCCTCGCCAAGCAGTGCGTCAATGTGCGCGATGACCCCGCATGGCCCCGCGACTGCTTCCTCCGGCTTGTCCGCTACCACTGCCTCGAGGGCGGGTACGCGGACGCGCGCTCGCACGCGAGGCTCGCCGACGAGGAGGTGCGACGCTACGAGGAGCGCCACCCCACGGGCCCTTGCGGCAACCGGCTCTTCTTCCTCTCAGTGCCTCCGGCCGTGTTTGGCGCGGTCGCAGAGATGGTGTCGGCGCACGGCAGGGCGGCGGCGGGCGGCTTCACGCGGCTGCTGATCGAGAAGCCGTTCGGCCGCGACTCCGCCTCGTTCGAGGAGCTCAACTCGCTCACGGCGCGCCACTTCGACGAGACGCAGCTCTACCGGATCGGCCACTACCTTGCTCGAGCCCTGTCCAGGACACGTCCACGACATGTCCGAGACGTGTCCCATAGGATCGACCACTACCTCGGCAAGGAGATCCTGCTCAACATTTCTTCGCTCCGGTGGGCAAACTCGCTCTTCGAGCCTCTCTGGTCGGCGGAGCACATCGAGGCGGTGCAGGTCACCTTCAAGGAGGACCTCGGCACGCAGGGGCGCGGAGGCTACTTCGACGGCGTCGGCATCGTCCGCGACGTGATCCAGAACCACCTGCTGCAGGCCCGCGAGATTACCCGAGCTCACCCGAGCTCACCCGAGCTCACCCGTGATTGCCCGAGATCACCCGAGATCACCCGACCTGCTGCAGGCCCTGCTCTTCCTGACCATGGAGCCGCCAGAGGACATGTCCGCCGCCGCCATCCTCGCCGCCAAGGTGTCGCTGCTCAAGTCGGTTCGCACGCTCGACCTCCGCCGCGGCGACGCCTTCCTCGCGCAGTACGGGCCCTCGGAGGACGGCGGGAGGAAGGGCTACCTCGACGACCCGACCGTCGACCCGCGCTCCCGCTGCCCCACCTTCGCCGCCTGCGTGCTCTCCATCGACTCGGACCGGTGGCGAGGCGTCCCCTTCCTCCTCTCGGCAGGGAAGGGCCTCGACGAGCGGCTCTGCGAGGTGCGCGTTCGCTTTCGGCCAAAGCCGTACAACGCCCTGCTTGGCGTCGACTCCGCCAACGAGCTGGTGATGCGCGTGCAGCCCGACGAGGCCATCTACGTCGTCGCCGTCGCGAAGACGCCCGGCCTCTGCGCCGGCGTCGGGCGCGAGGAGCGCCGCACGCCCGTGGCTCGCATGGGTACTCTCGAGGAACCTCGGAGAATCTCGGGGAATCTCGGGTAGGAGCGCCGCACGCCCGTGGCGATGGGGCTTCGGTACGCGACGCAGTTCGGAGACGGCTCCCCCTTTGTCGCGCCCGACGCCTACGAGCGGATGCTGCTCAACGCCGCGCGCGGCGACCAGGCGCTCTCGGTCAGCGCGGCGGAGCTGACAGAGGCGAGTCCGACTCACAGTTGGATCATACTAGAATACTCGGAAAACCAGCCATTGATCATCCCCTCCATCTGTCTGCTAGGCGTGGCGCATCTTCACGCCGCTGCTGCACCAGATCGACGAGGAGCTTCCGCCGGCCGGTGGCGCCGGAGGTGTGTGGGGAGGCTTGGCCGGAGGCTTCTCGGAACCTTCCCATAGGAACTTCCGCCGCCAGTGGTGCACCCCTTTGGCCAGACGCCGCGCGGGTACGAGGCGTGGACCGAGGCGCACGGGGTCGACATCGCGCCGCCGGCGACGCACTGGTCGGCCAAGGAGGCCGAGGCGCACGCCGCTGCCAAGGCCTCGGCGATGGCGGCCGCCAAGGCCGCCGCCGCGCCGCCGCTGGAGCCCCGCGACCCGATGGATTCGGACAGCTTCATGTGGTGAGCGGACCTGACACCCCTACTAGAGTCTACCCCACTTCTACTGCATGTGCATATATCGAAAAACGAAATCGATACTAGCAGGAGAAATCAGAAAAACATTGAACAAGAAAAGACGAGGGGCCCGACGGGAAGAGCCGGCACGCGGAAGAGGCGATGCAAGTGATGTCGTCCGACTCCCGAGCCCCCCCCCCTCCCATTTTTGTTCGTAAGAATTTTCCGAACAAGTAATCCAGGTAAGAAAGATGGGGTACAATTGGATGTGAAGTTGGTCTTAGCCGGCCATGCATGTGGCCTTTCTACTCGGAGCACTGCTCGAGAGCGCTCATGGCAGCGCGGGCAACGGGGCAGCTCGAGAAGAGATCAGGTTGGCAGGGGCGAAAGGTGACGAAAAGCTTGTGCCTGCGTGGCTTGACGGTGGCGGGCAGGGTCGGGACGAGGTCGGCAATGTGAGCGGCATGCCTGGCAGAGAATGGGCGCGAGAAGAAGTTCTGCTAAGCGCCGCCCACGACGGCCATGGTCGGGTGGACGACTTCCTGCTTCGGCACGGCGCTGAGATAGACGCGCAGAGTGACAGCATCACCGCGCTAATGGCCGCCGCTAACAAAGGCGATGAGGGGGTGGTCGACCTGCTGCTTCGGCACGGCGCTGAGGCCAACCTGCAGAACAGCATGGCGACAGCACGCTGATGCACGCTGCCATCAGAGGCCACGAGAAGGTTGTAGAGGTGCTGCTTTGGCACGGCGCGGAGGCTAACTTGCAAAACAGCTTCGGCAGCACCGCGCTGATGGCCGCCGGCCAGGAAGGCTTCGATCAGGTGGCAGAGTTGCTGCTGCAGCACGGCGTCGATGCCAACCTGCAGGACAGCAAGGGCGACACCGCACTAATGATCGCTGCCTACAACGGCAACGAGCGGGTGGTAGAGATGCTGCTGGAGCACGGCGCGGAGGTAAACCTGCAAGACAACGCCACCGCGCTGGCGCATGGCGCGAAAGTCGACCACCAGAGTGGCGGCAGCGGTACCACTGCGCTGATGAGCGCAGCACGCCATGGGTACGGGCGTGTGGTCGCTGGGTTATTGCGGCACGGAGCAGACATCAACCTGCAAAACAGCAACGGCGACACCGCGCTGATTCTTGCCGCCTTATACAACCGCCCAACAATCGTGATCCGGTTGCTGCGAGCGGGCGCAGACGCAAGGGCTCGCACTGTAACGGGCCGGACAGCGTTGCAGTGTGCCAGGGAGAAGGGCCACACCGCGTGCATCAGGATGCTTGAGAAGTTCCAGATGGAGCGCGCAGGGCTTGAGAAGTTCCAGGTGACGCACGCAGCAGGCAAGGACGCAGGTACACCGTTCGACCCGAGCGTGTTGCCTCCGGGCGAGGCCGAGCGTGTGTGGGTGGATCTCGAGGAGATCACGAGGGCGTTAGATGCATGTGACGAGGAGGCGGTGCTGGCGTACATCGATGGCGGCGGGCAGCTCGACGTGGTTTTCACGGGGAGCGGCGAGAAACGGATACCGATGCGTGGCGAGAAAGGGATAACGATGTTGCCGAAAGGGATAACGATGCTGATGAGCGCCATCCTCTGCGGCCATGAGCGGGTGTTCAGCTTGCTGCTGCAGCGCGTCGAGGATGTGGATCAGACAACCGACGAAGGCTGGAGCGCGATGATGATCGCCGCCATCAATGGACTTGATCGATGTGTCGACGGACTGGTGATGCGTGGCGCGGATGTCAACCGGCGGGACAGCAACGGCTCAACGGCACTGATGTACGCTGCCACGCAGGGCCACGAGATGGTTGCCGAGACGTTGCTGAAACATGGCGCGAGTGTCAACTTGCCGGAGCGCGACGGCGCCACTGCGCTGATGTATTGTGCCTTCCACGGCCAAGAGAAGGTTGCCGAGGTGCTGCTGCGGCACGGCGCGGATACCAGCCATAAGGGAAACAAGGGCCACACCGCGCTGATGCACGCTGTCAGCCAAGGCCACGAGCCGTTGATCGACATACTGCTGCGGAACGGCGCGAGCATCGATCGGCAGGGCAGCGGGGGCATAAACGCGTTGACCATCGCCGTCTTCAACAACCAACCCGAAATTTTGCGCCGTTTGATGCGGTCGGGCACCGACAGTTCGGCTGCCAACGGCAAGCAGGCGCTGCAGCTCGCCAGGGAGCAGGGCTGCGGTGAGTGCGTCACGGCTCTCGAGCAGTCGCTAGTGGTTCCACGCGAGATTTTTGCAGCGGCTCGTCGAGGCGACGATAAACTGGTGTTGGCATGGCTCGACGGTGGCGGGCACGTCGATGCGACGTTCGACATGAAAGGAGTGAGCGGCATCACGCTACTCATGGTTGCCGCAGGCCTTGGGCACAGGCGGTTGGTCGAGTTGTTGCCAGCGCGAGGATCCGATGCGAACTTACAGAACAGCGACGGTGGCACCGCGCTGATGGGGGCTGCAAAGAAAGGCCATGAGCAGGTGGTCGAGGCGCTGCTGCAGCATGGCGCAAAGGTCGACCAGCAGTTGACCTCGGGGGAAACCGCGTTGATGCTTGCCGCCTACGCAAACTGGCCGGCCGTCGTGCGCCGCCTGCTGCGGGCGGGCGCAGACGCAAATGCGCGCAATGCAGCGCGCCAGACAGCGCTGCAAATGGCCCAGAGAGAGGGTCATGCAGTGTGTATCTGGCTCCTCGAGGAGTGGCACCGTGAGCGAGGCAGGCACTGGGCTGTGTTGGCTTTTGGGCTTTGCGATGTCCTTATGCTGCTGTACTATGTCGTTCGCACCTACCTGCGGCGAAGTGTCAGAGCTAGAGCTCGGCCGAAGCGGTCTAGGCGGCCTAGGTGGCGACAGTGGACCGTGCGGGAGCGTGCCACAACCCTGCTGGCTTCCGGGAAGCGGCTGCTCTTATCTCCGTCTTCGCATGATCAATGGTGGGAGATTTTGGCGATCGCGGTGTTCCTGTATATGAGCGGACATTTGCCTTTGTTGACGGCATTGGCGGCTCCAGTTACAGTGAAGGTGGTGTGTGCAGCCAGCGATCTGGTTGCACAGAGGGCTTTGCGCATAGCGGTGGTACTAATACTACTGGCGAGTGCGTGTGGCGCAGCGGCAGTGGAGGTGGGTGGCCTTGGCTGGCTCTGGCTATGGCAGTGGCTGACTGGCTGCCTGTCAATGTCCCTGAGCGTAGAGATGGCGCACCTCAATCCCTATGCGCATCTTCTCATGAACATTGCTGGATTCGGGCACAAACGGAGCTTGCCATGGATAGCTGAGGGCGCTGCCTTCTCGGCGGCTGAGGATGCGGGAGGCGCGCAGTGTGTGGCAGGGACGGCGCAGGGCGCGAGTGAGGATGTCAGAGACGCAATACAGCGAGAGGAGGCGCTGCAGCAGGGGTCGAGACCGCCCCCCCCCGCGTCTTCCGCGGCCGTTGCAGACAGAGACCCCCCGGGGGGGAGACAACCCGGCGCAGCGGAACGTACGCGCGGTGTCGCTGCCGAGACCACCAGACATGTCGATGGCCTGCTGCCCGGCGACCTGTCTACTTGGGCTCCCGCGGCGACTGACCGGCACCGCGTGCAGCGGCACGCGTCTGATTCCCATGAAACTGCCGGGCCGAGGCGGGGTGGCGCTCCCTCAACCACCACCCAGCAGCTGCCACAACCTGAGCCAGTCTCTTCGGCCGCTGCCCCCGTCTCTGCGGGCGGGTCAGATGCTCCCAGACCCAGCACGACGGAGGCCGCGGAGTTCGAGGTCCTACCCGACCTGCTGTGTCCCATCACCGGCGAGACCATCCCGGCCATCGAGAGCCGCTGCGAACGGCGTGTCACAGTCCCACGTGCGAGTAGGCGAGCTCATGGAGGACCCGGTGATCAACGCTGCGGGGCAGACGTACGGTGTGCCACGGACGCCTTCGCTTTGCATGCCCTCCCCGTAAATGCTGCCGCCTCTCACCCCACCCAGCTCCCCTGCAGAGCGTGCTGCGATCGAAAAGTGGATTGCGAAGGGCAAGCGCACCGACCCGAAAAGCGGCACGATGCTCGAGCACACGCACCTCCTTCCGAATGTGGCTGTGCGTAGCATGTGTCGCGACGCAAGCCGACAACTAGCGAGATGTTTGTGAGGTGCTTCGCGCTCAGTGGCTCGGGGGCGGCGGGGGGGGGGGGGGGGCTGTTTTGCCCCATTGTTGTTGTCTTCGCGGTTTCTCGTTTCTGTTTGTTCCGCTCTCCCAGAAACGCACACTCTGTGGGTCTTGCACTTTTCGATTTATTAATGCCGTGGGGCTCCTGTCGCTGTGTCGTCTAGACATGGAATCGCGAGGGTCGCCCCCCCGCTTGCCCCACCACCCCTTGTGTGTGTGGAGACGTTTTCCTTACGCTTACCTTCCTGAAGGAATTGTTCGGTCTGTCTCCCCGCTGTGTAAGTAGCTGTAAGCGCTCCGGGCGCGCACACGTGCCTGCCAGTGCCACGCGGCGTTCTCTGGTAGGATGGGAAAACGAGATGATAGTATAGGGAGTAGAAGTAAGCAAAGAGGAGCCCTGCGCGCGCACGACTCCGCAGGAGAAGGGGAAGCCCCTCCCGCCCGTGCTTGCGCAGCGCAGCCTAAGACACACTAGACTCTAGAGCTCCTCCAGAATGGGGCAGAAAGGCACGTGTCGTCGAGTGGAGAGACAGGGAAGGGGGCAAGGGGCCAGGAAAAATACACACACGCGGTACTCTCTCAAATTCAATGGATGTCTGGCTCTGGAGACTATGATCAGGACTCACGAGTCACGTGCCTTTGTCCTACTTCCAGACCGCCACCACCTCGTGGAGCCCCTTGCCAAGGAGCGCCATCGTGAGGACTCCCGGCTTGAAGTCGACCGTCTCGGCGGCGGGGTCAAAAGCGGCCCACGCCTCTCCGCCCACAGTCACGCTCGCCAGCCCGCCGGCGCGCCCGCCGGGCGCGCGCAGCCGCAGCCGCAGCCCGCCCGGAGGCCCGCGGGCACCGACGTAGGAGCCGGGCAGAGAGACGTTAGCGAAGACGGTGTAGCCGCCCGCGGCCGTCGCGGCGGCGCGCAACGTGAAGCCGACGCGGCCGTAGCGCGTGGGCGAGCTGCGCACGACGACGGGCGCCGCGCCCGGAGTGAGCCACTCGCGCGGCACCGCCTGTCGGAAGGTTCCAAGAAGGTTCGCCGACGTCTCCTGCCACGGCTCCCCGGAGGAGCGACTTGCGCGGCGAGCGCCTTGCCGAGTCAGAGGGTGCGGCTGTTCACCCGAGATTGCCCGAGATTGCCCGAGATTGCCCGAGGTTGCCCGAGGTTGCCCGAGGTTGCGCCTTGCCGAGCCAGACGGTGCGGCTGTCTGGCTCCTCAAAGACGTGCATCCACTTCAGGTACGTCGGCGCCTGTGACTGAGATTGGGCGAGGTGAGCCGAGACTCGAGTACGAGCACCCGCTCTGGTCAGGTCGGCGCCGTGTGCACGCCAGCGGCCACATAGTCGGTGGAGCCGATGTCGCGGTCGGGGTGCGTCGCCTTCTCGCGGAGGACTGAATTCATTAGCAGGGTCGGGCGTGCGTCGAGCCGCTGCAGTCTCGGCGAGTCTCGTCGCCTCTTGCGTGGTCCAGCTGCCGCGCGTGTATAGGTGTGCTTGAGTCGGTCTGCTGGATTCACTACCCTCATTCACGAGCTAGCCGTCGCCTCCGGCGTCGTCCAGCTGCCGCGCGTGTAGGTGTGCGCCGACATGCCGAAGTAGTGGAGGAGGAAACGCTCCACCATGTCGTAGACCAGCAGCCCATACGCCATCCCTACCACTTAGTAGCGAAAGTATGAGTCGGTTCACTGAGAAGACAAGCAGCGTTGCGCCATGCCTGGTCAATGAATGGCGAGTGTTGAGTCCACTAACCCACGAGGAGACCAGCAGCGCCGCGTGCGCATCGCCGTATGCGGTGTAGGTGCTCTGCCAGGACGGAAGCGCCGCAGGCTTAGGTGGCCACTGCAACGGCGCGAGATTGCGGGAGATCGGGGGAGAGAGGGGGGGGGGGGTTGGGCGGGTGGGTTGGGGGTGCGGTCGGGCGAGGACTGGGGAAGCGTGTGCCCTGGCGGAGAGTGCGCTGGGCCAGGCTGGGGTCGAACGAGCAACGGGTGGGGGGAGCGGGGTGAAGGAGAGAGGTGCGGCGGCGGCGGGGGTGAGGAGTGAGGGGAGGAGAGGGGGGATGCTGCCGGCGGCCGGGTCTTGTCTGGCGGGGAGGGGGGGTCGCCTGCTTTGCGTTGTAGCCGGTGCAGCCCAGCGTCATCGGCCGGGTCGAGAGGGCGGAGGCGTTGCCTATGAGATGGCCCGAGATGGCCCGAGATGGCCCGAGATGAGCCGAGATGGCCCGAGATAGGGCAGAGGCGTCGCCTATGGGGAGGAGTGCTGGGAGAGGCTTCCATGCGGCTCCCAGCGTCGGCGGCCGGGTCGAGAGGGCGGAGGCGTTGCCATACATGAGGTGGTTGAACAAATCGTCCGCGAGCTCTGCCGTGAGGGCGCCCGAGTACATTAGCTCCGGGTAGCCTACAGCCGACATCGACCGAAGTGAGCCCGAGATGACACGAGATCAGCAGAATGCTCTGCTCCCCGTGGCCGCGAAAGTCGCCGAGGCAGCCCTGGCGAGCGTGCGGCGGGCCTGGGTCCACAGCGTCGAGCGGGTCGGCGCCTAGAAAGTTCCCAGAAGGCTCCCCGAAGGCTCCCCGAAGGCTCCTAGAAAGCTCCAGAGTCGAGCGGGTCGGCGGCGCCGGTCGGAACGCAACGAGGAGCGCGAGGGTTGCTCGTCGGCACGACGGTCCTAACGAGTGAGTCATAACCCATGAATGGACTGACGTGGCGCGCGAAGGGTGCTCCGTCGGGACGGTCCTACTTCAGACAGAAAGGGATCAGAAACGAGAGGCCTCCGAAAGGACGGCAGGGAGGGTGTGAGAGAGGCGGACCTAAGGTTCACGACGAGCTCGATGCAGTAGTGCAGTCGCGGAGAGCAGACGCGAAGGCAGTGGAGACGGTCGTGCTTGGCGAGAGACGCTTCGAGGGCGGCGAGCATCTTCGGCGCGGCGGCCAGCAGCTCGGATGCGTGCGCCGCCACGTCCTCGCGCCCGCTCTCCTCGCCTACAGCCTCCAGCCGAGATCCGCCGAGATTCGCCGAGATTGGCCCTCGCGCCCGCTCGCCGCGCCGATCTCTCGCAGTACGCGGCCGAGGTCGAGGAAGCCGCGGTACACGTTGGCGTGGCAAGAGTACTTGTGCCTGCAAGCCGGGAGAGAGCCGCGATCGCCGAGAGCCCCCTCTACTGGTCCCCCCTCTCCGCTATCTCTCGGCTGTCTCTCGGCTATCTCTCGGCTGTCTCTCTGTGCCCTTGCGGCTGGTCGCCCCACCGCTCGTAAAACGCGACGAACGTATCGCCCTCGTCGCCGCCGGCGATGATTCCTAATCTCGGGCAATCTCGGGTCATCTCGGGTCATCTCGGGTCACCTCGGGTCACCTCGGGTCACCTCGGGTCATCTCGGGTCATCTCGGGTCATCTCGGGTCATCTCGGGTGGGTCGAGGGTGCCGTGGCGCGGGTCGGAGGGGTCCGGGAAGTTGCGCAAGGCCGCGCCAAAGCGGTACAGCAGCCACTGCGCGTGCGCGCGGATCCTACCAAAGTGGTGCAGCAGCAGCTGCGCGTCGCCTACTTGCGGCGGGCCAAGTGAAGGCCGGGTCCTTGCGCGAGTGGGAAGGAGCAGCGGTCGCAGTGGCCGCCCGTGTAGTCCCTGTAGAGCGCATAGATCGTGAGCATTCTCCCCGACTGCGCGAGCTCCTCTGCGCGGTAGGTGATCATGCCTAATGGACGCGTCGACTGACTGACGGGCGGGAGTGCATCATCGCGAGCTCATCTCTGCGCGGTAGGTGATCATGCCGTTGTCGCGCGTGTAGTAGCGCAGCCAATTGTCGATCACGCCGCGCGCGTACGGAAACATGCCCCACTCGAGCGCTGCGGTGGCCGTCGAGGTGAAGGTGTCCTGAAAGCCGTCCTGCAGACTCACGCCGTACCCGGGCAGCACGCCGTAGCGCGGGTGCCACGTGTCGTCGCGCGAGATCATCGAGCGCACCATCGAGAAGAGCGCCTGGTCCGTCAGCCAGCTGCCATTCGTGCCCGCCGTGTCCGGGAGCGAGAGTGCCATCATGCCCTCCGCGGCAAGCTCGCGGTCCCAGTAGCGCTTGACCGCGAGCAGGTTCCCGTAGAAGCCAGAGGCGTTGGCCTTGAGCTCCGGCCGGATCCAGCGGTCGGTGATTGGCGAGTTGGAGAACCAGTACGTGTCGTAGTACTGAGGCGTGCCCACCAGCTCGCACGGCGGCGCCAGCCTCGCCCCGGAGCAGCGCAGCTGTTGAAAGCGGAACCAGACGTCCTGCTCGCGCCCTCCCTGCATGTCCGGCCTCGGGGACGCCACCATCGTCCAGTAGCGCGAGCCGCCGTAGGCGGAAAAGTTCTGCGGCAGAAGCGGAAAGTAAAAGACCAGGTTCGGGGACGGCTGTCCAAGCAGCCCCTCCGCCATCGCCGAAAAGTTGACGTATTTGAACCAGCCGTCCGGAGGGATGGGCGGCTCTCCGTTGGCAATGGCAGTCAGATTCATCACGTAGCCTTGTGGTCGCGGGAAGCCATTGTCCGTGCAGTCGTCCGCGTGGTCGGAGAAGGTGGCGTCGACCGACGCCGATCGCGACCCGGTGAAGGTGCGCACACCTGCGTCATGAACACACTCTGACAAGGGAATGCGTGCCGCGCCTGCGTCATGGATGCACCCTGACAATGGAATAAGTGCCGCGCCTGCAGTGCTGGTCGGAACACAGGACATGATTCAGCTTCTAGTGCGCGCACCGCTCTCCGGCGAGTAAGGCGAGCACATCATGTTGTTGCCGCTCGCCTGTCTGTTGCCTCGGGAGTACCGCATCACGGGGATTGCAGACTCGACACGCGCCCACGTCACCTCACAGAGGCCGGACGTGCGCGTCGCCCCGTCGCACGAGTGGAGCAGCGCGTCGCCGAGCATGTCCCATTTCGCGTCGAGCACCCTACGCTTGCCGAGACCGAGGTAGTACTCCGAGTCGGGCTTCGGCGCATACGGCTCGTACGTCTTGGGCAGATGCACCGCCTCCACCCCGTCGGCGGCGGGCACGAGCGTGAGCCCGCCGCCCGGCGTCTGCAGGTCCTCGCATGCTGACCAAAGTGTGCCCTCGGCTGCGAAGGTGTCGACCCGCGTGGTGCCGGACGGGCACGCTGCGGCGCCGGGTGCGCGTGCGAGGACGAGGCGCAGGAGGAGGGAGAACATCACGACGGGACTGAGGGAGCAAGCGAAAGTGATGACGGTGAGCCGGTGGACCCGGGGTTTCTTTTTGTGAATTTTTCCAGTCTTTTTCTGAGTTCGACTGAGACTCTGACAGACCTAGGCCCACAGACTACCTCCCACACACTCCCCACTGGCTGCAGCGGTGGGCCGCACGCAACAAGCTGCGGCAGACGGCCTCTTAAAGCTCGACCACCAGTGGGCAAAGGGTGCCTGTCTGTATCGCCTAGTTGCGAGTTGTTTTCGTTACAGTTGTAGTTGCGCGGACGGGCCCCTCTATTCGTGTATAATGTAGTTCCACCTCGAGAGTCGAGTGCGTGTTCGTGTGCAAAATGCCGTCTCTCTGTTCATTTTAGTCGATCTGCTGTCACATTAAGCACTCGCACGCCCGGGGCGACTCCGACAACGCCGGGAACAGGGCGCGCGCTGGTTGAGAGCACGCGAACTGCGCGAGCGATGCCCACGCGCTGGGGGAGCTTCGAGGCGCGCATTGCGAGGAGCATCGTAGGCGACTCCGTAGGCGAGATAACCGTAGACACCGTGAGCCACGAGTGCGGCGGGCACAAATATTCACGGAATCGGGGAATCTTTGGAAGAGAGGCTGCGTTTCCACAAGGCGACACACACACGAACCGCAAATCTCGTTGATGAACGTCTCTTTCCTCCCGGTTGGATGAGCGCTGCAGAGCTCAAGCCCAGGGAGGGAGCAGGCGTGCAGGCAGGGCAAACAAACTCCTACAACACCGGCGGTGGCTTTTCTTTTCAGTTTTGTCGCATATTTCGGCCCCAAGATCCGTTTCGCGCTTCATCCTATTCACAATTCAGCTATCGCCGCGTCGAGCCGGCAGTGGCCGTGACATGTGGTTCCACCACCCCTCGCCAGGCTTTGCCTCTGACCGCCACCGTTCCCACCCAGCTCCCAGGCTGCCTAATGGGACGGAAAGGAAGGCTGGGCGAGCGTTATAGAAGCGTGCTCGACCTCGTCGTGGGACGTGGCAACCTGCACGGCAGCGCTGGCAGAGGCGCGATGAGCGTCGTGCCCTGAGCCCTGGCCTCGACACCTCGACACCAAACCTCGACACCGACTCGACACCTCGACAACCCATGCCAACTCGACAAACTCGACACCCCTCGACACCCCTCGACACCCCTCGACACCCCTCGACACCATCTAGGCTGAAACCATGCTCGTCCGTGTCAAGGTGCCAAACTCGACACCTCGACACCCCTCGACACCCCTCGACACCCCTCGACACCGCTCGACACCGCTCGACACCGCTCGACACCGCTCGACACCTCTGATGATCCTAACACTGCAGAGACGTAGACCCATTGGAGTCACAGAGTTAGAAATCAGGGTTGCAGCAGCAATCAAACTTGGCTGGCAGTACTTTCTAAACTTCATCCCTGAGCAGCCTCTCAAGTTCTAGCTCAAGTTGCAGCTCAGTTGCACCCCTGTTGATGCAGCAAACATGGCAGTACTCAGGTAGCCCTAAGGTGCTGCACAGCACCTTGTACAGTGGCAATGAATCCTCACACCAGTGAGCTTGTGCCATGAGTGCAGACCTGTGGTCCATTGCGCTTTGTGCACTGGCGACGCTGCAACGGCGACGCTGTAGCGGCGGCGACGCTGCTGCGATGGGGTACTGTAGCCCTTAGCTGCTGGACAGCACCTTGTGCAGTGGCAATGTCCACTGACTCATGGCACCAGCCTTGTGCCATGAGCGCTGTGGTCAGTTGCGCTTTGTGCGCCGGTGACGCTGCAGCAGCGACGCTGCTGCAGCAGCGACGCTGCTGCGGTGCTGCGCCTGCACAGCACCTTGGTGCACAGTGGCAATGACTCCCGGCACTTGATGTCCTCAAATGTCCACAGAGAGTATACTGGTTGTGCTCAGGTTGTGCTACATCAACAGGGTGCAACTGAGGCTGCAACTAAGGGACGAAACAGCTTTGCACGACTGCTGCCCAACTTTTGTTGTATGTTGATGGGCTGCAACTGCATCCACCTGCCACCTTGGACACCTCGATACCTCAGACGCCTCTTGACAACACTCGACACCCGCTCGACACCCGCTCGACACCCTCGACACCCTCGACACCCTCGACACCCCTCGACACCCCTCGACACTCCTCGACACGGACAAGCATGGTTTCAGCCGACAGGCCTCGACAGGCCTCGACAGGCCTCGACAGGCCTCGACAGGCCTCGACAGGCCTCGACAGGCCTCGACAGGCCTCGACAGGCCTCGACAGGCCTCGACAGGCCTCGACAGGCCTCGACAGGCCTCGACAGGCCTCGACAGGCCTCGACAGGCCTCGACAGGCCTCGACAGGCCTCGACAGGCCTCGACAGGCCTCGACAGGCCTCGACAGGCCTCGACAGGCCTCGACAGGCCTCGACAGGCCTCGACAGGCCTCGACAGGCCTCGACAGGCCTCGACAGGCCTCGACAGGCCTCGACAGGCCTCGACAGGCCTCGACAGGCCTCGACAGGCCTCGACAGGCCTCGACAGGCCTCGACAGGCCTCGACAGGCCTCGACAGGCCTCGACAGGCCTCGACAGGCCTCGACAGGCCTCGACAGGCCTCGACAGGCCTCGACAGGCCTCGACAGGCCTCGACAGGCCTCGACAGGCCTCGACAGGCCTCGACAGGCCTCGACAGGCCTCGACAGGCCTCGACAGGCCTCGACAGGCCTCGACAGGCCTCGACAGGCCTCGACAGGCCTCGACAGGCCTCGACAGGCCTCGACAGGCCTCGACAGGCCTCGACAGGCCTCGACAGGCCTCGACACCTCTATCCCTCGACAGCAGCTCGACACCCTCGACACCGGGCCTCGACACCTCGACACCAGGGCTCAGGTCGTGCCACAAGACCCGAGACGGGTCGCAGGCGTCGTAGGTACCCGAGCGCGTCGAGACCGTGTCCTGATGCGCTCTGCACGGGTGAGTCACGTCGGCGTCAAAGGAGCGACGTGTGACCTGTCAGAGCTTGATCTCCGATCGGTCAGCGACGTCGAGTCGCCTTTGGTGGCGACAGCTAGGATGCATCTCTCCTCCTGGCGGCGCACGCAGGACGGACCGTGTGTATGCGGCGAACGCTTAAAAAGTGGGTGCTCTACGTCTCACTTTTGCAAGTGCCAGTGCCTCTCCAAGTTAGGGTGCCCACAGGGCCCAAAAAAAGAAAGGAAAAAAGAAATGGGCGACCCCCGATCGCAGCACTTCGTGTTGGCCAGTCGAGAAATTGAGAGTGTGACTAGGAGGGTGGGACGCTGGGGATTCTCAAAGGTATACCCTTGGAATGGCCGGTTCCAGCCTTGAAAGTACGAGATCGCGCGTGCTTCGCGCGCTGCACCGCCTATTCTCCGCGGCTGTGTGACGACGCGTGCCGTGTGCCAGCAGAGTTGGGCGCGCGCGGCGCGACGGCGCCCGCGAGGGAAGGCGCGGGTGCAGCGGCCGCCGGCGGCCGTACCGCCCGCCAGCCGGCGCAGCAGCGGCCAGCGCAGCGGCCGCCGGCGCAGCAGCCAGATCAGCCGGTGCGCGCCTAAAGTATGTGTACTTGTGATTGGACTGGAAATACGTGTGTATTTCAGTTCAGCAGTGTTGTACTAGCATACTCCCATACATGAATTATACCTGAAATCCTCCTTTCCACTCAGATTTGCCTCGTGCGTCCCTTTCTGAGTCGGAAAGCTATTTTCTTTTGGGTCCTGTGGGCACCCTATCCAAGTGCTTTTTTTGAGTAGATAGTGCCGAGCTGGCCGTGACAGCGTTTTTGGTAGTTTTTGGCGGGGTTTCACATCCAGGTGAGACTTTTTGCAACTACGTAGTCTTTTGAGCATTGACCATTGTCCATTGAGGGCCCGCGAGGCCCACCAGCGACCAGGAGGGTCCTGCAGGGAGCATCTCCGCCATTATGCCCTAGATTATGCCGCCACATGGGAAGACCCAATATCATACATGCCACATGCAGTTGGAAAGGGTACACGAAAGGGCACAAGACCAGAAAGGTACACACACCGCACGCGGAAGAAGTTACAAGGGATAGAGTGTACAATAATATTGCGCTGTGGGCGGAGCAGTCGCGGGCAGGGAAGCGGTCTCTTCGCCGGCGATGGACGGTAGTCTCACAGCTTGAAACCGTCGGGAGGCGCGCCCTCCACGGGCGGCCGCCGACGAGCGAGCGCCTTCAGCGCCTTCTCGGGCGTGTCGTCGCCGGCGCGGGCGCGGCACGGCGAGGGTGTGCGCGGCGACTTGGACGGCGAACCGCCGCCCTCTGCGCACTCGCTGCGCCGCTGCGCCGTCCAGCCGCAGTACGCGCGCCACGCCTATGGACATGTCTCGGACGAGTCACGGGCGTGCCATGGCGTGTCCGGCCGCAGTACGCCCGCCACGCCCGCGGCTCGAGCTTGCAAAAGAGCCACGGCAGCAGCAGCAGGCGCAGCGCGTACGCCTCGAGCAAGAGGAGAGGCGGCGGTGAGGGCGGCTGCTAGTTCGAAGGGAAAGGACGCGAAGTAGCAAGCATCGAATGGGCGGGCGGGCGCGGCGGTGAGCGTTAGGGGGCTGTGCGTGAGAGGAGAGCTGGGGAGAGGGAGGGGAGAGGGAGCAGCAGGCCTTGCCGCATTCGAGCGGCTCGGTGCGCAGGTCGCAGATGCTGCCCTGGTGGCCGAGGAAGACCGAGTGGACGCCAAAGCCGTGCCTCGTGGCGATCAGCTCGGCGAGCGCAACCAGCGGCCAGGCGCGTGGCGCGTGCCGGCCGAGCAGCACGCCGGTCACGGACGGCACCATGTCAAAGAAAGAGTTGACGAACGAGTCACCGTGGTACTCGCCGGGAGAATAGGTACTGAACGCCACCTCGACGACGTTCTCCCACAGCTCCCAGAGCACGAAGAGCAGCCCCACCCGCCACGCCGCCACCGGAGCTGTGTAGGCCCACCCGAGCACAAAGCCCCAGATCGCGTGCGAGACGCTCCACTGATCGAATATGTGCTGGTCCATGTGGACGCTGCCCGCCTCGTAGATGATGGGCATGAAGGTACGGCCGCAGGTGCAGCCGAAAGACGTCCACATCTGCAGTCGAATACCAAACGGGTGGGCGCAATCGGCTTACCTTCGTTTCTTTTTCTACCAGAAGGATCTAAAACCCCTTTCACAACAGACTGGCGGCGGACAGCGGGTTGGACTGGGTAGATAAGGAAAGAAAGAAAAAAGCTGCCGGGCGAGCAAACGCGTGCATGAGCCAACAGTGTCTCCTCCTCCTCCTCTCGACGACCGCGGCCGCGCTGCGTGTGTCGCCACTGCACGCGCCGCGCCCGCTCTCGCGCTCGGCGCCGCGCATCGCGGCTGTGGCCGCTGCCGACGCGGCGGGCCAGAAGAAGCGCCCATCGCTGCGGTACATCACCGAGGCAGAGATGGAGGAGCGGGTGCTCGCTGCGGCCATCGAGCAGGGCGTGCCGGCGGGCGAGGCGCAGATGTACGCCTCCTGCAGCCGCAACATCTACTCGATCGGCTGCGTCTACCCGACCGTCACCGTCGAGAGGCTCGAGCAGCTGCTGATAGGGCCTGCCAAGGCCGGGGAGGGATGGGCGCTGCTGATGCTGCAGTGCTCGCGCGGGAAGCTGCCGCGACTTCGCAGCGAGGGCACCGCGCTCGCAAGGATGAAGGCGGCGCGAGCCGCCGCCGCACGGCGCAGCAAATAGCTGCGCGTCCGGTCCGGCTTCCTCGGTCGTGCACTCCACTTGACCCTAGGATATTTCTGTGTGTACGTGTCTCCTGTACCTAGACGTGTGCCACATTTTCACGTCCTTGCAGAACGTGGACCAGGCCCTAACTGTAAATGCGCGGACGAGCGAGGTCCGACTGTCGGTATCTCTTAGATCTCTGGACTCGCTGCTCTAGCGTAGTCTAGCCTCTACCGTCTACGGCTTTATCTCGGACCGATAAATCTGTGCAACCGTGCGTGTGTAGTGAGTGTGGCTCCTCAGACACCCAAAATACACACCGTACTTCATCCTCTTTGTGAGGCTGATTGGCTGGAAGAGCGGCCTACCTCCTCGAGCGGCGCGTCCGCCCCTGCGGTTCGCAAGGCGAGCTGCAGCTCGGGCGGCAGGCGGGAGCGGGCCGCGAGCCGCCCGACGCCGTCGCGCTCGATCGCCGTCTGGCAGTTGTGCAAGAAGAGCCGCCCGCCGCACCAGCCCAGCTGCCGCTGCACCCGGCGGCTGGTCGAGCAGTAGCGCGTGTCGCCGACGAGGGCGTGGCCGAGCGTCTTCATGTGCACGCGGATCTGGTGCTGCCTGCCGGTCAGCGGGTGGCACAGCAGCAAGGAGTAGTGCTCTAGCTTTGCGTCGCCGCCGCCCTCCCTCCCGCCCTTGCCGCCGCCCTCCCTCCCGCCCTCGCCGCCGCCACCCTCGCCGCCGCCGCCCTCGCCGCCGCCGCCCTCGCATCCTCTCGGAGGCTGCGCGGGTCGCCGGCGGCGGTAGTGCCTCAGCGGCGCCACCAGCGTCACCGCCTCTCTCCCGCGGTGGCTGGGGAAGACGCGCTCTTCCTTGGCACGCAGCAGCCGTATCTCCACACGAGCGAAGCTCAGCGCGCTCGCCACCTCGGGCGCCGCCCAATCCACCTCCTCGCCCGCCGCCAGCGCGTCGACGGCGGCGGCGGCGGCGGCGGCGGACACCCCGGCGGGCAAAGCGGTGCGCTCGAACAAGCCCTCGACGAGGCAGAGGTACGCCTATGGGGAGATATGGGGAGATTTGGGGAGATAGTGCGCTCGAACAGGCCCTCGACGAGAGGCACGCCTTGTCCACGGCGCGGCCGGCAAAGGCCGCCTTGAGCTCTTGGAAGCCCGCCTCGCCGACAGCGACCGCCAGGCAGCCAGAGGTGCCCTTGTCGAGCCGCGAGACGGCGCGGAGGTCGAGGCGCAGCTGCGCTGCCGCCGCCTCGAGCAGCCGCTCCGTGCGCACGCCCGAGGGCTTGTCGAGCACAACCCCCCGCGGCGAGGTGGCGAGCACCCGCACAGGCTCCGAGAAGGCTGCGGAAAGGGCCCGGCCCGGCCCGTCTGGCCCGCCTGCGCCGCCGTCGCCGTCGCCGTCGCCGTCGCCCCCTCCCTCTCCCTCTCCTTCGCTGCCCTCGCCCTCGCCGCCCTCTCCGCCCTCGCCCTCTCCCTCGCCCTCTCCCTCTCCCTCGCCCTCGCCCTCGCCCTCGCCCTCGCCCTCTCCCTCTCCCTCGCCCTCGCCGCCCGCCGCCCCCACCAAGTGCGCTGCGGCGTGCCTTGCGGCCGGTCTTTGCGAGGGAGTCGCGGGCAGAAGCGGAGCTGGTCGCACGGCTGGTCGCATGGTGAGCCACCAGCCGTCCGCCTAGTCGCAACGGTCTCTCCACTCTCCGCGCGTCAGCTTTCTTTCTTGAGGCGCACGAGCCACCAGCCGGCCGCCTCCTCCCCCCGCGACGCTGGACGCAGCGAGGCCCGCTCGGGCCTTCGCTCCGCAAGCGCACGCGCCAGACCGAGCAGCGAGACGCCCGGCCAGCCGAGCAGGGGCGCGAGGAACGCCTTGATCTCGGCCGTCCCTCCCAGCTCGCCGAGGAAGACCTCTCCGCCCTCGCACGAACGCCGCACCTTTGGCAACGCCGCCGACAGCGCCGCATCGAACCCGTCCAGCACCGCGGGGTCGGCGAGCGGCGCGCCTCCTAGACACTTCCCAGACACTTCCTCGACACTTCCCAGACACCTCCCAAGCGCGGCCGGCTCGCCGAGCGGCGCGCCTCCTCCCGCCCCGCAGGCGCCCAAATCGGAGTCGTGCACAAGGAGAGAGAGCGAGGATGGGTCCGCGCCGCCGCCGTCCGCGGCCGCGCCGCCGCCGCCACCGCCGCCGCCGGTGGCGGCGGCAGCGGCGGCCTTGGCGCCGCTTAGCCGCGCTGCGCCATACGTCTCTCTGAGCAGCGCGTGCAGGTGCAGCAGGAGGCTCCGGCGGCGCGCGGCTTCAAATCCAATCGCCGCCACCAGAGCGCGGTTCACCTCCGAGGCGCGCTCCAGCGTCTCGTCGAGAGGAACGTGCCGGAGCAGGCCGGGCTGCGGACTCAGCGCCACCAGCCACTCGACCCGCTGCCGCAGCCGCCGGTCCTGCGCCATCAGCGACAGGGGCACGTCGAAGGCAGCTTCCGACGCCGCGTCTCCGCCTGCGAGACGTGTCACGGACGTGTCACGGACGTGTCATGGCTGTGTCATGGCCGTGCGTCTCCCGCCTGGCGCGGCGGTATTTCGGAGGAACGTCATTCTCCGGCGGCATATGGCGCGCGCGGCGTCGAGCGCGGCCGCCCTCGCGTCGCGCTGCGAGCCGGCCGTCGGAGGCTGGAACCATCTCGCCGGCTCATAGTCGGCGGCGCCGCCGGCGAGGCGGCCGTCCGAGTCGGTGACGATGCAGAGCCACGCTTCGCTGCCACCGGCGATCGGACGAGCGTCGACGAGCCGTCGGCCCGACAACACGGCCTCCTGCTCCTTGAGCGCCTCGAGGAGGCGGAAGTCGCGCAGCGCCGAGCGCAGACTCGGGTGCAGCTGGAGCAGCGCGTCCGCCTTGAGGCAGCCACCCGCCCGCCGCACGCAGTGCGCGATTGTACGGAAGAGCTCCGGAGCTGGCGGGTGCTTTGTGCTGCTGCCCTGGCGGCTCATGCCAGTTATGTGTGCGTGTGCAGCCCTACGTGCGTGTGCAGCCTACGTGCGAGCTGCGGCGAAGAGGGGTTGGAGGTACGACTGAGCGCGCGCGAGGCGATGGCTTGGAGGGGTCCAGGTGGCCTCTGGGGTGGGGGACCTGGCGGAGCTGGGCACCGCTTGCGGCGCCTGGCAGGGGCACCCCCTGTGTGGGGGCCGGCGATTCCCATGCCGGCTCTCCGCCACAACCCCCGCCGGGAGGGAACGCTCACAGAAAAGGGCTTTTAGCCCTGTCTCGCGCACGCCCCTGACTGACGGGCGCCGCGGACCTGTTCCGCGAGCGCTCGTCAGCGGGTGGTGTGCGGTTCTTGCCGTAGTTCCTCTTCGGTCGCCTAGCCCCGGCGCCGTCTGTCGGACGCCTGCGTGTCACGGGTGCGAGCCGCTCGCGGTCCGTACGCCCGCTTGCGGGTTTCGTTCGATCGAGCCTGGGGTGTCGACGGGCCCCCGGGGGCGACGGGGGTGCTCTTGGGGGGGGTCCCCCCAGTCAAGGGGGTCTGGGGCACGCCCCAGGAAGCCCGCCGCAGGCGCCGATTTTTTCGGGCTTTTTTGACTGATTTTCATGAGGTGTTGCTACTATTTGGGGACCAGTTGAAGCCTAAAAATGGCTACAAATACCCAAGGCCAAGCCCTCATGAGCCCTCCTACGCCTCGCTTTTGGCCAGCCCTCCCAGCCCCCACCCCTCCTGGGCCCTGCCGCCTGACACCTCTATCGGTGGAGGGCTTTAGGTCACGGTCCGCACTCCCGCCCTCCCGACCCCTCCACACCCCTACAGCGGCACCCCTACCCCTCCCGCCGTTTTAGGGCCTGCCCACCCGCACTCGGTGGCAGGGGCGGCGGCAGGAGTCTCCACGATCAGTAATAAAAGAAAAAATCGCATACGAATTTCTTTTAGTTGTGCTGACAACTCAGGCCAACTCCTGCATGTGTGTATGCTGCTCGCCCTCGCGCCGCTGTCCTCTAGCGACGGCAGCCACGCACCCGCGAGGCATCTCGACGAGTTTGGCGGTCCTGCAGCAGCGGCACGCGCGACAGCTCGAGGCGGAGGGCGCCGACGGATGTGTCTGAGCCTAGCGCAGCGCGGACTCGCTCCTGTTCATAGCTGCGCAACCGCTGCGCCTCATTTTTTTCAACAGCGCCTGGGCTTGCCGCAAAATGTCGGATGGCACCGCTGGCGTGCTGCTCGTCTCCTCGCTCGCCGTCCTCTTCTTCTTTCCACTGCTGCGGCCGGCGGCGGCACGAGTCCTCAAGTGGGGCGCGATTTCCTTAGCGGTGCTCTTCGTCACCTGCCTTCTCAGCATGTGCTTCGCCGAGGTTCCGTCGCTGCAGACAGCGACTCCTCTCCACGCCGCCGTAAGGGCCAAGGCAATCGGTCGCATCGCGGAGCTGCTGCCCACGAGCGACGTCGAGGCTGGCGAGCGGACAGGCATCGGCATGTTTGAGGTTGGCCGCAGGGCGCCTCTCTTCGCTGCCGCCCTCGAAGGCCATGCAGAGATAATTGCGGCGTTGCAGGGTGCGGGGGCGGACTCGAACGCGCCGTCCACGCTCGGCTTTGGCGTTCTCGCGTCCAGGACGGCGCTGGACGCCGCCGCCGATCAGGGGCACAGTGAAGCGGTGTCGGCATTGCTCGAGGCGGGAGCTGACCCGAACGCCGCCTCGTTCTTCGGTCTCGGCCTACTGCTCTCGGTGATGCCGCTGCACAACTCGGCGAGCGGGGGCCATACCGCTACGGTGGCGGCGCTGCTCAAGGCGGGAGCAGACCCGAATGCTCTTTGGCCCTAGATGCGGAAGGAAGGGTGCGGGATTACAGTACCACACTCCGACGCGCTCGAATTTTGTCCTTCCCCACAATTCGGCTGTATGCATGGCAGTCGCCGATACACTGTGCTCGCGATGCTCTGGGTATCCAACGTATCCACCCCCGGAATCCGCCATCACATGCATCATGCAAATCGGCAGGCGCTGAGCACGCTCGGCGCTGGACTCCTCACTGTGAAGACGCCGCTGCAGATCGCCGCCAGCAAGGGACACACGGACGTGGTGGCGGCGCTGCTCGAGGCGGCTGCTGTAGTAGAGACGTGCATGGATGAAGACGGCCACCTCTCAGAGGGACGGGTAGAATTGCTCGTAGTAATAGTTAGTCAGCCACCTCATTCAACCCCGGGCGGGCGCAAGGTCAGAGTATGTTGTGCTCGTGGGGTGTACTTACAACGTGCCAAACTCAACTCCTTAGGCGGGCGCCGATCCGAACGCCCCGCCCTCGGACACGCCTTTGGACGCTGCTGTCGAGAAGGGGCACGAGGGGACGGCCGCCGTGCTGATGGAGGTGAGATCATCCGAGATTGCCCGAGATTACCCGAGGCGTTGCGAGGCTGCCGGGGAGTTCCCAAGATTACCCGCACACTACCCAACATTTTAGCGTGCGATGCCGTTTCCTTTGCCATTGTACTGCTCTGGCAACCCCTCTTATAGGCGGGGGGCGTGCACTCGACTCCCGTCTCGCGCGGCCTGAGCATGCTGCACACGCTCATGGCGGGCTTGCTGCTCGGCTCGCTCATTCCGTGGATGTAGAGATGCAGATGCAGGAGCCACTGCAGCCTCTATACCGGGGTGGGCGCCGCTGTCTCGTGTCTGAGCCGGCTGCATACATCGGTCATCGCCCAGCCATCTTGGTAGGGCAATGACTAATTTCAGAGCGCCGAACGAAGACCAACTCGCCGGATTTAGAATTTATTTGCTATATTGATTGGGACGCGGGGTTGTTTTCAATTTTGTGAAATATCAATTTTGAATTCCATCGCAGTTTTTGGGTTTTATTCCTGTCTGTAACGTGGCAGGGGCCCAGCCCCCAGGACGCACAAAAAAAAGTCAAAGTCTCGGTTAAGCGCAAGACCAAAAGGGAGCCAAGACGCGCCCCCCAGCCCGGTTTTGGGAGTTAGCCTGGAGTGCACTTCGTTCTGATCATCACCTTTGCGTGGCACGATGATGAGAGCGCCCGCCGACAGCAGCGAGAGCTGTGTTTCTGCTCATGTACAGCCCCTTTGGGGGCACTACCGCGCGGGCAAGAAGCCCCGCGCGTCAGCAAAACGAGTATTTGGAGCAGCTGACACGGGTTAGGCCGAATGAATTTCTCTTGCAGCGCACCCTCTCTTGGTGCTCTGCCGCTAACGGGCGCTTGGAAGCGAGTGCGGAGCACAGGCTGCGCTGAGCACTGTGCCCACGCCTGTGCACGTCGCCGCCGCGCCCAGACGCTGCACCGCTTTGAGCCGACCGGCTGCGTGCTGCCTGCATTGGACGACCTGAGGTCGGTGCGTGGCCGCGTGATGCTGATCGGTGACTCGACCTCGCGTTACGCCTTCGACGAGCTTGTAGCGTGGCTGCGGCGGAGGGGCCAGCCTCTCATGTGCAGGAATACCTCGCAGCCGAAGTGGACGCTTCCAAGCGGGCGGCAACTGCGTCCAGAGCATGCGGCGGTGGTGCTCCTGGCGGTGCGCCGTCGCCTGCCCTGGCACTGAGAGGCTGCCCCGTCCACCAACCGTGCCCCAACGCCAGGCGGACGATCGGTATGAGCGGCCTCCTCTCGACTGTCGCCACGGCAGCCTTCGACTCTCCTCAAGGCGACTCAACTTGTTGCCGGACGCATCTGCCCCCGGCGCCGCGGCCGCTTTCGACGACCTATTCCGGCCAGTCTCGGCGGCGCCTGGCCGGCCTCGCGGTGCCCACCGCAACCTCCGCGCCGTCCTCCCTCCGCACCTCTCCACCACCGCATTGGTCGCAGGCATCGCTGTCATTCAGTCCGGCCTCTGGCTGGCCGCTCTCGCGCGGCACCCCGCCTTTGCATCGCGCGGCGGTCGCGAGGCGCGGCGCGCGGCGGCACTCGAGGTGTTCCACGCGAGCGCCGGGAGCTTTCTGAGGCTCGCCTGCTCGAGGAGAGACTGGCCGCGGCTCGTCTGGCAGCTCCCTCTGCCTCAGCACTTTGACACGCGCGATGGGGCGTTCCGGTCGGAGGCGGCGCTGCGGCCGTGCGCACCGATTGAGAGCTCTGCCGCTCACAGCGCGTGGGAGCGTTTGGTGGTTCCGATCGCCAAAGCGGCCGCGGCCGCGGCCTCGGAGCGCCCTTGCGCGCAGCCGGCCGTGCAGCTCGTGCGAGGCTTCTGGCCACTTCTTGCGAGGCACGGCGACCACCCCGGAGCACACAAGCCGGGCGGCGCCGCCCGCCGGGACTGCTCCCACTGGCTTCCGTGCTCGGGGGCGATGCATCTGCACCTGCGGCTGCTGCTTGCCGCAATCGCCGAAGCACGGCTGTCAGCAGCGCTCAGCAGGGTGTGATGTGACACTGATGTGCTGCATGTCGCTTGTCGGTCCTAAGCCAATGTGTGTCGCAAAAGTGTGGCGCCAGGGCGCAGGGGGGCTCGTTGACATTTGAATAATACACACTAAGACCTAATACGGCTCTGTTCTCCTCTGACAACGTGGGCGCAGGGCCACACCGAAAGGTGGAGAGGACGCCGCCCCAGCCGGCGGCGGCGCGCCCTGGGGCGCTCACTCCTCCGCCACGACGGCCACAACCATCTGCACGTGGCCCTCCACGCCGGCGGTGACGACGTCCCCGGGCCGGAGCCGGCCGACGCCCGCCGGAGTGCCGGTGAGGAGGACATCCCCGGGCTCGAGAGTCATCACCGACGAGCAGAAGCGCACCAGCTCCTCCACCCCGTGGATCATCTCGGCGCAGCTGCACTCCTGCCGTCGCGTGCCGTTGACGTCGAGCCACATGCGCAGCTCGCGCCATGAGCCGCCCTCGGGCAGCAGGAAGGGCGTGGAGAGGGGGCAGTACGAGTCGTGCCCCTTGGCGACGCTCCACGGCATCCCCGCCCTCTTCGCCTCCGTCTGCTCGTCTCGGTCGGTGATGTCTAGCGCGAGGGCATAGCCCGCGACCGCCGCTGCAGCGGCAGCGTCCGTCGGCAAGTGGCGGCAGCGGCGGCCGATGACGACCGCGAGCTCCAGCTCGTGGTGCACTCCAAAGTCGGTGCCGCATCGGCGGCGAGGCCGCCTGGCGGGGTCGCGGAGCACGAGCGGCTGGCCTGGGAAGGCGTAGGCCGTGGTCGGCTTGAGGAAGAGGACCGGCTCGGGCTGCTCCTCCACCCGCCAGTCGGGGCTCAGCTGCGCGAGCTCGGCGATGTGGTCGCGATAGTTCTTGCCGACGCAGATGATCTTCTTGCCGCTCCGCACGAGGCCGAGCAGCCCTTCGGAGCCGCCGCCGAGCGCGAGCACCTTTGCAAGAGCGGCAGCGCCGCCGACGGGATCGGCGAGCGTGCTGGCGAGGGTGCTGGCGGACTCGCGCACCCGCTTGAGCAGCCGGTCGCTGAATGCCAAGTAGAAGGCCGCGACACCGCAGACGGCGCCGCTGGTGAGCGCGCTGCCGACAAAGATGCCGATTGTGAGCGAGAGGCTGGTCTGCTGCAGGCCGCGTAGCACTAGCTGCTGCGGACTCGCGAGAACGCCGGAGAGGGTGGCCTGCGGCGGCATATACACACGGGGCAGCAGCTACTGATGCCGCGTCGAACTCAAGACTCTCAAGAAGAAAAACACCGGCGCCCGCGAGGACGCCACGCCGCCCCTTGTTTGGTGTGTCCGTTTTATTTATTTATTTATTCGGCACGCCGCCAAAATCTCTGTGTGGTGGCGGCGTGCCGTCCTCCCATCCCTCCCTTTCCGTCCATATTTTCTTTCTTTCTTTTGACACGCCGCCCGCGACGTGGAACGTCAATTCATGTTCGAACGGCCTCCGGGATTCAAACAAAAATAGCCGGGCCCCTCTCGCAACCCCTCCGACCCCCCGGGACCCGTGGGCGTCGAAGGGGCGCTCTCAGGGGGCCGTTCTGAGTTCATGCTACCACGAAACACAACAAACTCTCTCCCTCTCCCGAAACACACCACTGTGCTGCGTCGAAGCACCGGGCCCGAGACCGACCCTGGAAGCGATGTGCGCCTGCTTACTCTAACGCCGGGGCGCTGGTTGCGGCCTTGCGGCTGGTCGCGGCCCTGGTGAAGGCGGCAGCAAAGCGGGTCTTCGTTTGCGAGAGTCTTTTTTGGAAGCTGCTACAGCTGCTACAGTGGGTTGCGGGCATTAAGAAAACGTACCATTAAGAAACCACGCCGAGCGATTTCCGCAAAAATCTAAGAAACCACGGCGCGCCGCAGGCGCGGCCCCGAGAAAAGGCCAGACACGAGTGTGAACGGGAGGCCCAGCTCAAAATTTCTCTTCGCCTGCGGCGCGCGCACTTGTCACTTTCCAAGTCTGCGGTGTTCTGAGTGGATGGAGTGAATGGAGGCGTGTGTGCGTCTTCCCGTCATCCAGACAGAGAGCCGACTCGGCGGCAGACTCTGGCATCGCCCTCGCGGACCGCAGCTTACCTCTTACCTAAAAATCCTTCGGGCCGGCGCTCTGGCTTGAGTGCCCCGGCGGCCGGAGCTAAGAAACCACGGCGTGGGGTGGATGAGGGTTGTGGAAAGGCTTAGAAACGGCGGCGTGCCGCGGGATCCTGTTTTCCTAATGCCCGCAACCCACTGTAGAGCTATCTCTCTCTCACAGCACACTGGCACGACAAGGGCGCGGACTGGCGCGGACTGATAAGAAAAATGGCCGCGCTGCTCTTCGCTCTCGCGTCTGCCTCGTTCCTCCACCCCACCGTCCCGATTCGCGCCTTCACCACTCGGTCCGTCCAGCGCGCCTCCGTGCCGCTGGCGCTCAACACTGGATCGTACCGCATTCTTTCGCCGTGCACAGACGAGAGCGTGCTGGAGGCGCTAGTGGACGGCAGCAGTAGTGACACCACCGGTCACTGGGTGGTGATCATGCCCGGCCCTCTCTCGCTTGGACCTCCGCCCGACTCGCAAGTCGTGCCGGAGTTCATCGCCAGCTATGACAAGCCGGTTAGAGACGGCGAGGTGCCACTCGCCGCCGGGCGGCTTCGGATCGGCGCGCGGATGGTCGAGCGCTTCTCCTGCAGCCTGCCCAAGGAGGACCCGCGACACCTGGAGCTTCTCGGCCTCGTGCTCGACTCTCTGCTCCTCGCGTGGCTGCGGGCGCCTTCCAAGACACTTCCGCGACAGTTCCGATCCGAGGCCGCTCCGAGACAGCTCCTTGCCTGGCTGCAGGCGCTACCGACGGCGGCGGCCGGTTTCGAGGAGCTGGGCGCCGCCGCCAACCTGCACTCTGCCGCGGTGACCTTTCCGAGAAGCTTCCGAGAGAAGGCGGGAGTGGGCTGGCCAGGCCGGGGTTGCCCTATGCCGCAACGTGCCCCTCGCCTCAGGTTGTCGAGCGCGTAGGGTTTGCTGAGCTCGAGAGCCCCGACCTGACCAGCCTCGGGCGGGGCGAGAGACAGCCGAGAGATAGCCGAGAGATAGCCGAGAGCCGAGAGACCGCCGAGAGCCGAGAGACAGCCGAGAGCCAGCCGAGAGCCAGCCGAGAGATAGCCGAGATCGAGCTGCTGGTGCTCCACGCCCAAGCGACTAACTGCGTGCACTTTGACTTCGCTGCAGGCGAGCCCATCCGGACGCACGGCGCGAGGCTGCCCGCGGCGATCGTCGCCTACGAGCACCGGCCCGCGCGTCTTTTCGCGGGAGAGCAAAGCCTCGCCATATCTCGCCGGATCTCGCCACGATGTTTCGATAGGCTCGCGCGGCTCGACGCGGGAGACGTCGAGGCGCGGACGCGGGGAGATGCTTGCGAGCCGCTTGGGAGGGGGGAGGGGGGTGCAGGGTCCTCTGCTCACGCTCTGAACTGCTGGTGTCAGCTCTTGCCTGTCTGGGTGTGGAGATGCGAGGGTTGCGTGGGCCCTTGCCCCACCACCTCTGTGAGTGCGGAGACGTTTACCTCATCGACCTGGCCTTAGGCGCGGGCGGCAGCCCAGCGCATCCTTGACGCACTCAGGGCGCAGGAGGCGCCCGCCGGCGGCAGCGGCGAGGCCGCACCGCCGGTCGCCGAGGACGACGATCCGTGGTCCGCGATGCGCGCTAGCTCGGGGTATTGAGATGTGCGAGAGGTGTCTGGGGGCGGGTGGCCGCCCTTTTTGCGCTTTCGTGCCAAGGGCCCGGGGCTTTCGAGAACGGCGGCGGCGTGTGTCCAAAATGCGTCCAACGAAATGTGGTATGTGCTCGCTCGCGCTCTCGAGAGGCGAGACGAGCGAGGAGAGAGCCCCGGAGCCGGACTCGAGGACCTTCCCGCTTCCGAGACGCGTTCCTTACTGTTCTATCTTATTTCACAGGAAGAAGAAGACGGGAAGTGGGTCGGGCCCGAGCAGGACGCGGGGGTCTCCAGCAAGCGCGGCCTCAGCCGCCGCCGCCGCCGCCGCCGCCGGCAGGGGCCGGCTGCGACTCTTCCTCTGGAGCGCACGCTCGTCCCGCGAGAAACCGGCAGCAGGGAGCGGCCCGACGCGGGCACACCACCGCTCGCACGCCTGGGCGGCGCCCATCGCAGTGTATCTGGCGCCACAGATGTCACACCGCCAGACTGGACCCCCCACAGCCGCCCTCGCAGCCGGTGCAGAGGCGAGCCGCTTGGCAGCGAGAGAGGCGGCGGTCGCGATCTCCTTGCGCTCAGAGGACGAAACTTTGGCCACCGTGGGCCCGTTCCTGCCGTCTGAAATGAGCCCAGCGTACTCTCCAAGTGACGCACTCGAGAGCTTGCTCAGGGGCACCACGATCACGGGCGGCTCTCCTTCATCCGTTCGTGGCAGGTCCGCAGAGAGGTGCTTCGTCGGTACGGCCGTCACAGCATCACAGGTACGGCCGTCCTCCTTTGCACACCTGCTGAGCCGTCGGCGAGAACGGTTGTAGGTCCACGGCATCCCATCTGCCGCGTTGCAAACATAACGGCAACTTTGGTTTCAATCGATGAAGCGGCGTTCCATCTGCTCTTAGTCATCAACGTTTTGATGGCGGCAACGGCGCGGCGACTTGGTGATTCCTTGGTGCCGGTTTCATGCCGGGGCGAGTTTGTTTTGTTTTTCTGGGAAGTTACAAGAAAAATACTAAGGTGCCAAGCGGCGTGCGTGCGTGGGTTCTCAGTCAGGTCGGGGAGAGTTTTGTGTCAGGTCGGTAGGCAGGCTCTCTCGTAGGTAGGCAGGCCCTCTACACCGCTTGTGACTGTGAATGCATCCAGGAGTGTAGACCTTACACACTTGGTTCTTGTTTGAAGTTTAATGGAAACGTGCTCAAAAGAAATGCGGGAAAACTTGCTCGCCCCGGAACCGAACCACGCCGCGACGGGCACACCCAAATAGTAGTCATCCGTTGCGGCGCGACAAACTCGACGTCGCTCGCCGCCGCAGTCTACGCCATCGCTACTGCCGCCGCGGCCGGCGCGGGGCTCCCGCCACCGGCGTTCGTGATCAGCGGGGGCTGTGCATCTGAAAGAGGAAGCCCGTTTGACGACGTCGAGTACATCGCTGACGGCGACACCACCTCGGGAGTGCCGCACTACCACGATTCCTCGTCGTCGTTCCACATATACTGGGACCCTGCTTGCGACGGTGGCGGCCTCTTTCCTGCTGCCTGGCTGGTAAAGAATGGCTCTCATGCTCCAGCCTGCAGCTATATTGCCGCGTTTGTCTCCGACAACTCCTACTCCCCGCCGCTCGGCACTGAGACGTGGCGTGTCAACTGCGATGGTTACAACTGGGCCGACATGGATCTGACCCTGACGCATCCCTCACCGTCACAGCCACCACCTCCGCAACCGCCTCCGTCGACACCACCTTCTCCACCGCCTCCGCTTTCTCCACCGCCGCCTTCGTTGCCACCGCTGGACACGGTGCCTTCCATCTGGTTCACCGGAGGCTGCTCTTCAAACGGCACAAGCGCTGTCGACAACGTGGAGTACGTCGCTGGCGGCTACACCGCCTCGAGAGCACTATTCTACCACGACGCGAACGCCTCGCGTAAGTTCTACATCTACTGGGACCCCGACTGCAGCTGCGGCGGTGACCCTGCCCGCTGGATCGTGGATACTGATGCACCGAACACTACCGCTCCGTGCGACCTCGACGGCGACGGCGAATGCAGCGACAAGGCCCACATCGACTCGGACGAGCCCTCCCTGGAGATCGGCACAAAGGCTTGGTGGGTTGACTGCGACTCCGAGCCCAACAATCTGACGACGGCATACTCCTCCCCGCTGCCGCCGTCTCCGCCGTCTCTGCCTCCAGCTCAACCGCCGCCGTTCCTTGAACTGCCGGCGGAGGCACTCGGTTCCAATTACTTAGGGAGCTTCCCTACGCGGTGGCTGCCAGCTTCCCCACACGCCCCGCTGCCGCCGCCACCGCTGCCGTCGCCTCCTCAGCCCCCGCAGCGGCCGCCACCGCCGCCGTCGCCTCCTCAGCCCCCGCAGCGGCCGCCACCGCCGCCACCGCCGCCGTCGCCTCCTCAGCCCCCGCAGCGGCCGCCACCGCCGCCGCCGCTGCCGCCGCTGCCGCCGCCGCCGCCGCCGTGGCCGCCACCGCTCTCACCACCACCTGGATCGCCACCGCTGTTGCCCGACCTCAAGCTGACGCCGTCGACGACCGAAGCCATCGCTGCTGCCACCGCAACCGCCGCCGCCGTCGCCTTGCTCGGCGCGTTTGTCTTCTACCTGCTACGCCGCCGCCGCAGGGGCCGTCGAGAAGCAAGTGGTGAGCAGGTCGAGCCGACAAACAGTGAGATTCACAACAAGATGCTGCAGGCCGCGGGATCGCTGGTCGGCGGCCTCGATGCGGCGCGCGTGCTCTTCGCCGCCGAAGGGAACCGCTTCGCCGCAGCGCCGCGCGAGCTCGTGTTCGGGCGGCCGGCACAGGCGGCGCTGGGGATAGAGCACTATATGTGCGTGGCGCCAGAGGTTGTGCCGCAGGGGCTGCTCGAGGGGACCGCCGCCATCGTCCGAGAGGTGACTGCCAGCAGCACCGACGCCGACCGCGAGTGCCTGGATTACGTCTTGCACGCCGAGGCGGGCTCGAGCGAGCGGACCTACCAGGGCGGGCTGAAGCGCGACTGCGACGCGTGTGGCGGCGTACTGGAATGCCGCACGGTGACTAATAGCAGTGGCAAGGCGCGGGGCATGCGGCTGGAGGACTTTGTATCGCACCCGAGCGCGCGGATCGCGAACCTGACCGAGGCGCATGTGGTCGCCCTCCGCCTCTACACGACGCAGGCGCTCTTACTCTCCCCTCGCCGCTGTCGCCTTCCTTCTCGCCCTCATCCGCTCGCGCCCTCTGTCCGACCCTGCAGGCCTACCGTTCGATCAACAACCCGCTGCGCGACAAGGAGCGTTTCGAGCGCGGCGAGCCGCACCCGCTGCCGGTGACAGTCGCACTGCTCCGCGATGCGCTGGGCAAGCTGCGAGCGGTCGAGGCGGACCGGCACTCTGCGACTCCAAACAAAGCAGTCCGCCGTGTCGAGCTGTACCGCGGCATGAAGGACGTGACGGCGCCGGCCGACTTTATGGCGCGGGGGGGCACTGAGCTCGCGCCCATGAGCACGACGTCCGACCTCGCCGTCGCGATGCGCTATTCTGCGAGCGTCAAGGCGGTGCTGCTGCGACTCATCACCGACTCGTTCATCGAACGCGGCCCCGACATCTCCTTCCTCTCCGCCTTCCCCGGCGAGGCGGAGTTCCTCTTCCCGCCGCTGACGTACCTGCAGCCGACGGGGCACGTCGAGACGGTGGAGGTCGAGGGGCTGGCGTACGAGGTGGTGGATGTGCGGCCGCGGATCTGACCAGCACCCACCAGGGGCGTGACCGTGACCGCGACCACAAAATTGACATATTTGACTCACAACAGTCAATTCAGTTTTTAGATAGGCCTGTATTGCTATCCGGGTTTCCGCGTTTTTGTGCAAAGGAATTGTTTGTGCGGGCGAGCGTCAGGGGAAAAGAGAAAAATCAATAACCCCGACATGGAGACAACGTCCGTGCGCGCCCCCCAACCAAAAGCAAAACCGCGCTCAGCACAAGCGCCTCGCATCTCACCACCACTACTGCTAACACGGGAGGGCGCTTCTCCCACACGCCACGCCGCGCCAACGGCCAGCCGACACCGCCACCACCGTCGCCGCCACCACCACAGTAATCAGTACACCGGTACACCACGCAGACCTGCCACCCACGTGAGGGGAGAGGGGGGCCCCTCCTCGCAGGCTGATCGCCGCCGCGACGGCAGCGCGACCACTCGGCCAGAGGTCAGCCAAAGCCCTCGCTTGTCGGCGCACTCGGCGCATCGCGCCTCGCGTCTACTTGGCGAGGGCGAAGCCGAGCCGGTTGTTGCCGTAGTCGAACTTGGTGTAGTACTTGCGCAGGAAGACATCGCCCAGGATCCAGAGCGGGCCTGCAGGCAGGGGCGCAGAGGCAGTTCGGAGAAGGCTCAGGGAAGGCTCCATGCCCGCCCGAGGGCCGTGCAGAGCGGGCCGCGCGGGGCAATCTCGGCTCCTTTCCGGCTCCTCTCGGCTCCCTCTCGGCTCCTCTTGGCCCCTCTTGGCTCCTCTCGGCTCCTCTCGGCTCCTCTCTGGCCCTCTCTGGCCCTCTCTGCTCCTCTCTGCTCCTCTCTGCTCCTCTCGGGTAATATCAGACCGCGCGGCGCGGGCACGTCGATGCCCATGATGCCGAGGAGGCACTCGGTCTGGCCGCCCGCCTGCGGGGAGGAGGGGCGGTGGAACAGGCAGAGAGGGGGGGGGGGGGGGGGGGGCCTTTTTTTATCTCCCTCAAAAAAGGCGAGGAGCGATTTCCCTCCCTCAAGGCGTCGGGGATGCGGTCTCGGGCGCTGTGTGCACTCAGAGCTCCAAAGGCTGCTACAAAGGCTACTCCATGTCCACAGCTCCCTGTCCACACCGCGCCGCCCCCGTCCTCCTCTCGAGTGGCGGTCGGAAGACTCCGGCCGGTGATCTGCATCTACAGGCCTCCGTGCCGGTGTCCGCGATCGCCTTGATCTCGCCCGAAAAGGCCTTGCCGCCGACGGCCACCGCCGAGGCGGAGAACTGCCAGTAGCCGGGCGTGGTGACCGGCGTGTACGTGAACTCGCCGCTGTAGAAGGTCGGGTCGACGCCGCCGAGGGTGAGCTCGCCGCCCTTTGGCGCCGAGGCGTCCTTGGCGAGGTAGAAGGCGAAGACCGCCTCCGCGATCTTCTTCGTGCGGACCGCCTCCTGGAAGAAGGGAGGCATACCGTTGACGGCGATGTTGGGGTAGCCAAAGCCAAGGATGCCTGCGGGACGTGTCGCGGACGTGTCATGGACGTGTGGGGGACATGCCCGGGTAGCCGACGCCGAGGATCGCCGTCGAAGTGCGCGGCGACGAAGGCGACGCCGGGCTCCTTGACCGCCTGTGGACGTGTCGTGGACGTGTCCGTGGACGAGTCGATAGCATGTGCGGGCGCTGCTGTCCGTTGAGTGAAGCCTCTGCGAAGAGGAGCGAGTCGACCGTGACGTCGCCAAGCGTCACCTGCGCGGGGAGGGGTCCGAGGCGGTTCGGGGAGGGGGGAGGAGAGGGTCCGAGAGGGTCGAAACGGGAAGGCCATCGAAACAACGGGATGGCAGACCAGGAAGTGTCTCGGAAGTGTCTGCGAGGCCGCCGCACCGTGTCGGCTG